AGTTTTTTTTTTTTTTTTTTTTTTTTTTTGTTATAAACGATCTCTCCTTCAAGTTGTTTCTTTATTTATTTACTTGTTTTGACATATTTGGAACGTGGGTCATATGCAACAGTACTTACGTGCTAGCTTTTGAGCCTGAGAGTTGGTGAGCTTGGCGGCAAATCCAGAAAAGCCATGTCTATAACTATACACCATAGATTCCAACGACTTCTCCTTGCTTTATTATCAAGATCAGAATAAACACATATACTTTTTCGAACAAAAATCAACCCAAGAAAGAAATTAATACAAAACCGAACGAGATTACCTTCCCAAAACACTTTCCAACAATTCATGGTGAGAATCAGTTGTCAACTTAACATCATCATACGGCCTTTCTCCCAAGTAAACAATATGAACCTAAAGAAATGGTCAAATTCTTAAAAGCTTTTGATTTCTGAAAAGCAAAACAAAAGAGTTGAATGATACCTTGGAATTTTGATCATCAGCTTCAGCCATGTCTGAAAACACAGCATAAATTGTCACCACAGCAAGTATGAAAGACGGAGCTCGGTTGTTCTCCATTGTTGTCTCTCGTTGAGCTTTCTCAGACACCTCTCAAATGCATCAAAGTGGAAAGAAATAGAACATGATTGGCTGTGGGAAATGGCTTCAAACATTGGTGCTTTTATAAAAAAAAAGTTGATGAAATGCACCACCTTTTAAGTTAAAAGTGAGTCTCGTCTTTATAAGTCCACAACTAGTAAATATTGTCTTCTTTGAGCTATTCCTTTCGAACATCCCCTCAAGATTTTTGGAGCCACACCCTTACAAGAAATACTTCGTTTCCCTCTTCAATCCAACTTCGTTTCCCTCTTCAATCCACTTCCTTGAGGGGAGAGTCAGTGTCCTAACTGACACACTACTCATTGTCTAGCTCTAATATCATTTTTCGATTGATATATATTATCTGTGTAAGAAATACGACAAAATATTTTTAATAATGTGTAAATGAATTATTAAAAGAATATTATAATTGATTGGGTTGATTTAAGTTTAGGAATCTCCGTATATTACCGGTCACAAATTTGATAAGCATCTAATGAAACCTAATGATTGAGAAGGCAAAAACTCTAAATTCATTTCAACCATTGAAATTAAATCCAAAAATAAATGATGTACCAATATTTACTTGAAAAAGAAAAATAATTTTATTTATAGTTTCAATAATATTCTTGAACTTTTTTTTAATTAAATTTTAATAAAAAAATTTAAAAATATTTTTATTAATTTAACGGAAGAAACAAATATAATTATTTAAAAATAAAATAAAATAATTATCCAACAAATCTTAATAATCTAATCTAGAATATAGGTTGTGTTTTTGTAGGGGACCGTTCAATCATTATTCTCCTCAACAGAAACCTAGGAAAATATATTATATAAATATTTTGTAGAAAAAAATAAATTATAAAAAAAAACTTAAATTTATATCAAGTTATTATTTTGAAATATGAAAAATATTAAATTCACAATCAATTTCATTGAACATAATTTTAGAATTATATTGATTAAAATATTAGGAATTTTTCGCTCTTTATTTCATAATTCAAAAAATTTTAAAAAATATCTCAATTTATGTGAGAATAAGAAAATAAACTTAAATGAAATGTTAATAAATAATTTTGATTTACGAACAAAAGTGATTTTAAAAGGAATGAGGAAAAAATGGGGATGGATGTATATGGAGACGAGCACTAGCCTTTGTCGGTGGGTCGGTGGTGTTTATGAAAAAGATGTGAGAAAGGCTAGGCTAGTGCTCGTCTCCTTTTCCAATTGATATTAAATTTATAATTTTAATATCAATTGGAAAAGGTGAGGAGGTCGCTATAAACTTTAAATTTTAATTTATAATAGATATTTCAATAATTATAATTATTACTATTAAATTATTTAGTAATCTATAAAGTATAATAACTCAATTTTGTTTCTTTTTTCTATTTTTTAGAAATTTAATTTATTTGATTAAACATAAAATTTTATTTCTACAAATAAACAGTCCAATAAATAAAAAAAATATATTATAAATTCCGAATTAATCATGACCAAAGAAACAAGTCCTATTATTTGATTTAGGTTACATCTTATTACAGAGTTTTCATTTATTTTATGTTTTAATTAAAAAAAATAATAATAATTAATAAACCCAATCCAACGTGTCTCTAAAATTTAAATAATTTTTTTAAAAAATCTGTTCATTAATAATTAGAATTTCATAAAATTTAAATATTATTATTATATATATTAAAAATTAGAGTTTGAAACATTGAAACCTAGAAACCTAAAGTTGTGAAAAGTCATGAATGCCCTTGGATTACCCAAAAATAATGCAGCCAATATTATTTTTATTTGTGTTTTTTGTTTTATTATCCACCATTTCAATATCTAAACTAAATTCAATAAATAAATATTTTTACCTTTTCTTCTAATTTAATTAACTTAATAAAAATAACTTCAATTTTTAATTATTTTAATTATTCCTCATGGTTATTTTAGTATAGTTAAATTCAAAATAAAATATTTTTTACTTCTTAAATACAATTAAATTTAATTTTAATTTTTTTTCTTTAATTGTTATTTAAAATGGACTAATTTAATAATTATTCGGGTTAAAAGTAAAATTTGCTCGGAAAGAAATTTATTGTTAGCGTTAATATTTAATCGGATTTCTTACGCTCAATTATCCACTTACGCTCACCTATACTACCATATTTTAAAAATATTTTTAAATTTTCAAGAACAACATTAAAAAGTTTGGAGAAATCTATGTGGTGTCGATAGACGAGTTTTTTTTTTTACATATATAGGTAAAGGGTGTTGATGTATTTATAAAATTTTATGGATATTTTTTAATATATATATTTTAAATTAAAGTTAGAGGATATTAATGAAATTCTTTAAAGTTCAAAGTTATTTTTTAAACTGTTTTCATCCAAAACTAAATATTTTCGAGACGTTTATAGAAATTTTAAAGATATTATTAAAACTTTTGAAAGTTGAAAGGTGTTTTTATATGAACGTTAAAGTTTATAAATATTTTTATTAATTTAGCTAAAAATAAATAATGGATTTATTTTTAAGGTGGGATCCACTTAAATTGAAAGTCCATATTGACAAATCTTCACTCCAAGCAAAGGGTTCGACATACGGTACCGAATAGAAACAATTAAGTCAAATCATCACTCATACTAAGTATGAAGTGTATGATATTTGTATCAAATAATATGTGCTACCGGTAGCCGACACGGTTTATATTGAAATTCAATTACAAATATTAATAAATAAATGTTTGATTAAAAAAAATAAAAATTTAAATGAAGGATGGGATTAGATTTGACAAGGAAGGAAACAAATCAGAGATAATTCACCAAAAGAAAAAAACAAAGTTACCTTATATAAATTTATTCTTAAACTTTACCTTAAACGGTATGATTGTGACCAAAAATGGTATAACATTCAAATTTTTTCATACGTATAAGCCATTCTTAAGTAGGTTGATAATATGCCAAACTTCTACGGGTTGGGTTGAATTATGAATTATCTGGATTCGATGAGTTAATTTTAAAACGGGTTGACAAATTGAAAAATGAAAAATTCCGACCAGCTTCCGGCCAACGGAGGCTCTCAATTCCGATCAGTCCCAAAACGCTTCATCTTCCTCATCCTATTCTTATCCGTCACTTACATTGCTTACATTCTCAAAGTCCTCTACTCCGGCGAGCCCTGCCCCGACGGCGACGAACCCATCACAGTCAACAACCAAAAAATCACTGTCCCTTCAATTTCATCAGAACCCTTTATAAGAAATCAAACGATCCCCAATTTCCCACAAAAACCCCATTCCCAAACGGAAATCCAAGACATAGTGTTCGGAATCGCCGCATCGGCAAAGCTATGGCAGAGCAGAAAAGAGTATATAAAGCTCTGGTTCGACCCCACAAAAATGAGGGCGGTGGTCTGGCTGGATGAGCCGGTGGCGACGAAGGCAGAGGAGGCAGAGCTCATCCCGCCGGTGGTGGTGTCGGAAGACACAGAAAGATTCGCATACCGGAATAAACAGGGGGAGCGGTCGGCGATAAGGATATCGAGGATAGTGGCGGAGACGGTGCGTTTAGGGGCGGAGAATGTGAGGTGGGTGGTGATGGGGGACGACGACACGGTGTTTGTGGCGGAGAATCTGGTGAGAGTGCTAAGGAAATACGATCATAATGGGTTTTATTACATCGGAAGCTCATCGGAGAGCCATTTACAGAACATGAAATTTTCGTACGGAATGGCGTATGGCGGCGGAGGATTCGCAATTAGTTATCCATTAGCGAAGGAAATCGAGAAAATGCAGGATGGGTGTTTAGAGAGATACCCGGAGCTTTATGGCTCCGATGATCGGATTCAGGCGTGTATGGCGGAGCTCGGCGTTCCACTCACAAAGGAACTCGGATTTCATCAGTACGACATTTACGGCAGCCTATTCGGGCTCCTCGCAGCGCACCCAGTGACGCCGTTGGTATCCCTGCACCATCTCGACATCGTCGAGCCCATCTTCCCGGCGGTTACAAGGCTGGAAGCTCTCCGGCGACTCTTGGTCCCGATGCGGCTGGACTCTGCAGCCCTAATGCAGCAATCGATCTGCTACGACAGAGCCAGGGGGTGGACCGTGTCCGTCTCGTGGGGCTTTGCAGTCCAAATTTCCCGGGGGATTTTTCCGGCGCGGGAGATTGAGCTGCCTATGAGAACGTTCTTGAATTGGTACCGGAGAGCGGATTACAGTGCGTATGCGTTCAACAGCCGGCCGGTTGTCAGAAATCCGTGTCAGAAGCCGTTCATCTTCTACTTTTCCGATGCCGATTTCAACTCCTCTGCAGGGGTTACTGTGACGGAGTATTTGACCGAGCGTTCGCCGCATCCGTTTTGCAAATGGAACATGGCCGATCCCGGTGAGCTTCACATGGTCGTGGTGGTTAAGAAACACGACCCCACAATTTGGGAACAGGTGAGTTTGAATAATACTCTTTAAGTTTAAAAGAAAATAAAAAATAAATAGTTTAGAATTTTTATAAGTTTGATTTATACTCTTAAATTTTTTTAAAAAAATTTTAAAAATATGTTACTATTATTATATAAATGAAACCATAAAACCATAATTAATAATGTTAATTTTAAAGTTCAATATTTTTTGAAACGGGTAATAACAGTCCTATCTATATGAAGTATTTTTGAAGTTAATTTAGCATATTACATACGTTCGTTAAATTAAGGGTATTATAACGAAGGGTCGTTTTAAGCTAAATTTGTATTCATATGGTTAATACATAAGTTTTTATATAGTGAACTCAACAATGGTGGATTTGTTGTTCTCAGGCACCAAGAAGGAAGTGTTGCAGAGTGATGGGTATGGAGAAGGAAGGAGTGTTGGGTGTTGATGTGGGTACCTGCAGGGAAGGGGAGATCAGTAACTGATTTAATTCATTTCCTTATTATTTTAAATACAATTCATATCTCTTATCAACCCCTTCAAACACGATATCGTTTATCATAGGTATATGAGTCAATTTTAATGCACTGATCGAGTGTGAGAATGTCGTCTTTACTTCTGCGTTTTAGACATGATCTCTCAAGCCTCGACGTTATCTCCCAAATGGCAAGCACAATGCGAGAATATTTAAAGCCTAAAAAAATTAGAGGCCGTAAAGTCATGATGACATTGTGATATTGGTGATATTATTACATTCTGAATAGCACCGAGACATTGTAAGTAGCATCGTGACACTACGAGCAGAAACGTGTTAATGCATATTTTCGTTGTCGTTTAGATAGTGCTTTTTTAGTAAATGCTTAAGATGAGTGTCCCAATGCTACTCGGGTAGCTTTGACGACTTGTTTTGTTGCAGATTTGCAATGCTTTTAGGCACACATATCTAATGTTGCCTCCTCCAACTTACAAGCTTATTTTCTACTCTAAATCCTTACATTCATCTATTTCTGCGTAACAAACTCAATTTTCTCAACAATTCCTGTAAATGTTTCATTACTCCCGAATAGTTGTCGACTTCATCGTTAACCTTGTGCACAACCAACCATTCTCTTATTCGGTTAGATTAGTAAACAAAAAATTCTAGGCCTTAATATAATAGGCGACAACGAAGATTCAATCATTATATACAAACGTTACCTCGACAAATTATTTAAAAATATGACAAAATTTTCCACGAATCACTGATATAAACGTGTCTGGTAAGCTATTCTCAAGCTTTCTTATCAGAGCCCCTTGGAATGATTAAAACCAAACTCCAAATACAAAACCAAGAACTATCAGATTGAGTTCCACACAGCACAAATTCAGAACAAACAAATGTAGCAATGGCTCTCTTTGGTCCTCATATTTCTCACCAGCCGATACCATACAGATCCTCCCCAAAAAATATAATACCTAGTACGATAAAGTACCGATATCGGTGTTGTATAGCTAAAACGTAACTCGAGTTCTTGTCAAATTGCGTTCCTTTCCCTCTTTTTTGGATACTTCAGATTCTGCTCCACTTTTAGACTACTCCACATCTGTGACCTGTCTGTTTATAGAACATTCTAAAGACTTTGAGCCTAAAACTTCCATTGCCTTGTCTCCAAACCCACCACTAACACAACCAAACTCAAAATCTTCATCGTCGCTATCGATGCTATTCGGAGTTACGCGATTCTGATAGCTTCTCAGCCGTAAAAGAAACACATTGAAGTAATAGCTTATCAGATTTTTCCTTGATTTCATTGGAAACCATCTCAAGGAATAGTCCCAAAAGCACCGATTATGATTGTTGAAACTTGACATAGCCAACTCCTTAAATCTCTTTTCCTCCTCAGCTGTCCATTGCAGAGATATTTCCTCCCCCATTTGATGAAATCTCCATGCAAAGAATGTCGAGCCAAGCTCGAGCTTTAATCTCATCCTTGCTTCAGCTATGTGAAATCTAAAACATTCAACCGAACCTGGAAATTGGCAGCCACATGAATCCGGTCTCCCTCTGCCAATGGCGCGTCTATCACGTACGGAATTACTATTTCTGTGTTGAAGAGGCCACAACCGTGTCCCTAGCCATTTAGAGTCACTATCGGAATTATTACCAGTCCATTCAGGTAAATCTGCTTGACATAAAGCACCCACGGGAACCGTCTCCTCAGCTGAATCTTCATTCGGATGATCGTCTTCCATTTCAGATGGTATATCACCATTCAAGACTGCTTGATTCTTGAGTCCCTTCCCAACTTCTGTTGTTAGACTACTACTAATACAATTACTTCGAACGGTTGGACAAGAATTAGAACACGTGGCGAATACGGACTCGGTCGAAGCTTTAAATCTTTTGCTGCAACTTATCCTTTCTGTAGAGAGGCGATGGTTATCAATATTATCCTCATAAATGGATGGATGCATCTTTACTTTCTTCTGCAAGTTTAAACCAATTTTTTTTCCTCAAACTCAGTAGTTCATTTCATTCTGTTTAAACAAAGAAACCATTGACAGATAAGCTTCTTTCTTCGAAGCTATAACTTATGCTTCCTAAGGAGCAAGTACATAGGCACTGCCTACACTAAACATAAATGGCACTAGAACAGTATATTCAATTATATAAACACGTCTCATAAACTTATATATGTCATCAGCATATAAGCGTAAGTGAAAGCAGCCTTTCATGGTTCGGTTCAATAAAGAATGTACGAAACCAAATAAATTAATAGTTGTGTCCAAGTGTATGAACATGTCTTTGTCATAAATATATCAAAACAAGCTCACAATGATTCCCAAATTTTCAAAAGGAAAATAAAAGATATATGAAAAGTCTAAAGCAAAAGGATAATTATTGCATGTCATGAAAAATTACTTAAACTGTGTCGTTTTTACTTCATAGATCGCAATATCCTATTGGCAGAAGGAAAGCTTAGACTGGGTAATAAAGGTGGCAAAGTGGATGGAATGATAAATCTTATAAACTGGGAAATAACTTCCCTCCCTATTTCTATTGTAACCTTGCCATGAGGAATTGGGCTCCCCTTGCCAAATGGGGCTGGTGTTTCATGATGAGAAGGAGACCATATGGAGGAAAGTGAATGCCACAAAGTATAACTCAAAGTCTTCAGTATTCAATGGTGTTGGCCTAGCAAAGCGTCAGAGGCCCTATGTCAGCTCATTGCTGGCATGCATTTTAAAGGGCAAGCCAAGATTCTTTGGTCTAAAGGGGTGTTTGCCCTCCTTTGGCAGCTTTGGTTTGAAAGAAACTCGAGGCTTTTCAATAGCCATGAGTCTAGCAGGGAGGTTTTCGGGATCCTTTCACTCTTTTTGCTTCTACTTCGTCTAGCACTTCTAAATTATTTTGTAATTATAGCTTATCTCGTTGTTACCAGTTGGGCATCTTTTATGTAAGCCTTTGGTGTGTGGGGATATCTCATCTCCCCTCCTTGTGTATTCTTCCCTTGATAATGAAAAGTTTGTTTCTTATCAAAAAAAAAAAAAAAAAACAACCCCTTACAAAAAACCCCCCCTTAATGCCTACAAACAACGTTGCACGAAGGAAGATACAAACATTGGAGGATGTGAGACATATCCTCTTCCTAAGTGAAAGAGGTCGTACTCACATTCACTAGGTTACTCTTCCTCCTAGGTTCTATTAGCATCATCCTCCTAAATCCATTGGACATGGGAATTTTTCTTCCATCTAGAGCTCTCACTAATATTCACCACCTCCAACGATCTCCTAAGCCTAATTCAATCCTCAAAATTCTCGATGAAACTCTCGTCCTTTCAATCCTACTCATCTCCGGGAAGCTATGTAAATCCACTTTTGATTTCCTGACCCTCGAATTCCCAGATACATTCATATCCATCTCGTAAACTTTCCTCGAAGAAATCATCCTTCTCTTAAGTTTGAAACCCTATGAGCTGCCTTGAATCTCCCCCCACCAAGAGCATAGACTACCCTGCACAACTTGACACTCGACTTTATAACTAACGAATAACAACTTCCATTTAGAAAACACTAAGACATTGTTCTCCCAAAAGAAATGTAATAAATATAAACACATTCTATTGGTGGTGGCAAGAGCTCCGTTTTTTTTTCAGCCGAACTTACATGAAAATTGAGTGTGTAAACTCCTAATAGTGAGCTAAAAGGTGAAAACGTCAGAACCCATAAACAAGGTCAAACCTGATCCTATTGGCCTTTTAAGAATCCCTGATAAAGTAAAGACTATGCTAGTAAACCCAATGACAAAGATCTAAGTTTTCCTTACTGTGTCCATCGTGTTATCACATAGGACGCAAGACAGGGAGACAGTAGTCGTATGCTGCTTGCTTATGATGATGGAGACCCAAGGTTATAATAGCAGGAGGTAACTTTCCCTTTCTATATATGAAAGAAAAGGGCGCTGATTATGTTCAGAAGACTCTATCCTGAAAAAGAAAGCCAAAGATCGTAATACCTGCACACGTCAGTTTGCGCATAATTGCAGTCCAAAGCAAGAAAGCAAGTATGTCGATCGGTCAAGGAAAAAAGGGGAAGGGGGAGAGAGAGAGAGAACTGGCTTACAATCAGAATAAGTGGGTGAAATCTACCTGTATTAAAAGACGTTTCTCAGCGATTTTGTCAACACCCTTCCTAATTAGAAGAGCATCCTTTGCACTGATTACTTGAAGCCATAATGCATCATCGCTCGAGTAACCTTTCCACCTTGATGCCCCCAGTATTGTACCATTTAATGGATCTTCAGGATGCTTCGCAGTCTTTCTCACCCACTTCAGCATTCGTAATAACGATTCTCGATATTTCCCAAGAGATTCTATTTCAGCTTCAACATTAACAGCATCCAAACTTTGACCATCTTCAATAACATGGATTGGATGCGTCTCTGTACAATCTTGTTGAATTGGTGTAACATCCCCATGGAGATCGTGTTCTTTCTTCTTTATTTCAGAGAATTTTATTTCCTTCTCCACTGCAGCGGCAGCAACATTAACGTTCCCATTCTGTTTGTTAGATTTGAATCCAAAACATTCATCATATATGCTATTTTGTCTCGGCACACCATACAACATACCGTTAATCTTTGCCCCGAGTTCCGACAAAAATGGAGAACTTTTCTTGTAGCAATAATCAGAGCTCCCATTTTCCAGTTTTGTGTCTCCACATCTCACCATAAGCCATTTCTCTAGATCACTTAAGTACTTGGAATAAATCAATTTCACCGAAGCCGAAAGCCCAAGATCCAAACCTAATTCCACAACCACTGAAGACCATAGTTTCTTCTCTGAAACCACTTGAGAACCTCCTTTATCTCTTACTACCAAGAACAATTCAAACAAATCCAAAGCTCCCCCTTCACCTATTAACGCAGGCAGTGGCCTAACAAATCCTCTACGACCAATTTCCTTTAAAAAAACCCAAAGAATTTTCTCAAAATAGCATCTAATTCTCGCCTTGCAATCATCATAATCAACATTTGCATAAGTCCCCTCTACCAAACAATCCGAAGCAATGCAACAGCCATTACTAGGATTAGGATCTACATCTTTATTGCAATCTAAAATGGAAGCATTAGATGAAACATGCCATCTCCCCATGAACACAAACCCACTTTAAAATCAAAGCAAATTCGCACGGAACTCTTCTTTCTTGTTAAAAAATACATACGAAACAAACAGAAACCTCCAAGATTAACGCAAAAGATAGATTAACCCTTTGCTATGAAAATTCAAAAGGCTCTACCTCGTTTTGGGAATCTGGGACTCCTTTCTTCCTGCAACCCATTATGAAGACGAAGATAGCAGCGATGAAGATGGAACCAAGACAAAAGGGGTGGCAGTGGCGTGGGACAGTCAAATACACGACGGCCGGAACTTGATCGGATTATAAATGATTGAAGTTGGGGGCGACTCAACGAAACGAACACCAATTAGGGGCTCTTGGATGAAGATGGTTAGGGCCTGAGGGTTTTGGTTTGAAGCTAAGTCTGCAAGTTCTAAGATCAAGGCTCACACTCTCTCTTGTTTTCTTCTTTATTAATATTAAATTTCAATTAATTAGTTAATTAAAACTATTTATAATTGATTGATTTATTTCTATTTATTAAATAATATACCAAATATATTAAAAACAATTATGAAAATATTAGTTTATTAGTTAATATTATGTTTAATCAATTAATTATTTGTGATAATATAAATATTCATTTCCTCGTGTCACGTCTATATCTATATAATGTAGGGATAAAAGAGTAATTTTGAAATCTTCATTTCGACCCGTTGCCCATCTTAGGGCTTCTTTACTCCTTTGAGTTCAACTTGGCTCAGCCTCTTGGTCCTCGAGATTCTTTTTTTCCCTGTCAAAATGTGCGGGCTTTATGTGTCTTGTGGGCTTGGGCCAAGGTCCCATCGTATTGAAGATATATGTCATCGAATTAAGTGTACTTTTATAGTCTCTTGAAAATCTATGTTGGTTTGTGAGAATAGTCTTCACTCTAAAAAACGAGAAGTATAAGATGACCATGTCGTAAGGAATGCAGAGAACGTCGGGACTATTAGATGTTGAATCTTGGACATGGAGAGTTACAACAATCACGTTGGAGCGTGTTATCACCCTACCCTGCCCCAAACATATTCCAAACCTAAGGACGGTCTAGAAAAGACAAAAGACTCACCAAGCCATGTTTTCACTGTTGAGTAAGATGGAGTGACAATTCGAAGCATTAAGCCAGACAACAAATCTCCAAGTTATATCATCGAGACATTACAACCAACGTTCATATGCTAGCTTTCGGTTCTTACCCATTTGATTTCTTTGCTTAGTCGTAACTCATATCGACCTCAATTACACGGGGTTTTTTTTAAATTAAAAAAAAAAATCTATAGAAGGAGATATTTAATTTTGGATTTAAAAAAAAAATGAAATTTAAATAATCTTCATTGTCAAGGCACATTTTGTCGTTTTCCAACAAGAGACAATGGCCTCAAATGTTAATACCATTTTAGAACTCTTCAATATAAATAAATACATTTGTATATAAATATTAGCATATAATATGAACCATAGAAATAAATAATTAAAAAAAAATGTAAAAATTAAATGAAAATTATTTGGGCCTACGGCAATCTTAAGGGCATCCTCCGCTACCGCTATCTCTGAATCCTTATCCACAGCCATTCTCAAGTTCTTGTTTTCTTCCTTATCTCTTCCATCTACTCTCATAAACTGTTATCTAAATCTAATCGTTCATCTTCGTCTTCTTATTCTTCCATTTTCTGAATTCATTTTATATTCATTTGCGCCTTCTTGTAATCATTGGAATTGATTTCGAGTGAAGCACACCGTTTTTTTGTTTCTGTTTCTCTCTTCTTCTCTTGAAACCCTCGATTAATCTATGTGCTTTGACGCCTATTTGTTTGATTAAATTGGAGGGTTTTTCTTTTTTTCTTTTTTCTTTTTCCTTCTTTTTTACTTGATTCGTATGGCTTTGCTTTCGATTTTGTCGGAGATTTTGGGGAAACCCAGAATTGTTGATGTGCTTGGCGAGCTTATGGTGTTGATTGCTCCTCTTTGGATTGCGGTTATTGTTGGAGTTTTGGTGGGGTGGACTTGGAAACCGAAATGGGCTAATTTGGGACGAGAAATGTTGGATTCTTCAGGTTCAGATGAGTCTAAGTCGACGTCGACTTCCTTCTCGTTGTTGGGGTCAATTCCGAGCTTCAATTCCTTGAACTTTCAGATGCCTAGCTGTTTACTTAGCTCCTTCGATGGAAAAGATGAGAAGGAAACTTCCTCTTTCACGTCGAACTCCGATTCTGACTTGAGGTTGTTTAGTTGTTCTTTCAAGCAATTCTTCAGTGGATTGATTTTCTTTCAAGCAATTCTTCACTGGATTGATTGTTGTTCTTATTTTAAACAGAGTAAATTTGTAGCTGGTTAAGTTTAGTTTTGGTACTTGGTGGGTTGGAATTGAAAATTGGATTATCCTTTGTTGATATTCATTTCTAACATCTGATTCTGTTGTGGCTCAGTTTGTTAGAACTTGAAGGAGAAAATTTGAAAGTTGTGAATGATGATGATTTGGAGTACCTATGGAAGCTAGTTGAAGAGAAAGATGTTGGACCCGCGTGGATTCAAATGATGGATCGTTCTACTTCGAATATGAGTTATCAAGCATGGAGAAGAGATCCTGAGGTAGCCCCCCTTTGCTACACAATGATTTCAATGCTGTTTTTTAATGGTTGTATATAACAGAGATACAAGTTATTATTAAGTAAAATATTGTTGAGATTCATATGTAGCTCTTAGCTTGCCAACTGAATTAAAGTTAATATGTTTAACCGATTGAATTATTGTTCATCTATGAATGATCAAGGTATGATATTCAAGGAAAATGAATTCCATATGATCATTGCAGTCTTGCTGTCTTACATTGTTTTTATCAGTCTTGATTTTGTCCAAGTCCTATCTCTGTGCTTTTCACGACCTGTAACACTTAGTAGCTTACTTACTGTACTATTTCGCATTTGTGTGTGGCCTTACCAGACTGGACCTCCACAATATAGAAGTAGAACTGTGTATGAAAATGCAACTCCGGAGATGGTGAGGGAGTTCTTTTGGGATGACGAGTTTCGGTCAAAATGGGATGACATGCTCATATCTGCTAGAACTTTGGCAGAATGCCCAACAACAGGAACCATGGTAGTTCATTGGGTGCGCAAGGTGAGGCAGCTGTTTTCTTTTCTATTTCTGCTAGTGAATGCTATATTCCCCCCTTTTAGTTTTGGTGGTGACGCGGTTTTAATGTGCTTTTCCTTTTTTCTTTGGTGGTTCAGTTTCCTTTCTTCTGTAGTGACAGAGAGTATATAATCGGGCGACGAATCTGGGAAGCAGGGCGATCATATTACTGTGTCACAAAGGTATAACTTGTAATCATCCGTGTCTCTTGGCATGATATCTTGTCCATGTCTTCTTCTTTGTTACTATCTTTCTGACTAACCTCGTATGGTCTGATTGAGCCATGTTTGGTTCTTACATTTACCCATCCGGGCACACTCCCCCACCCCTAAGTACTGTCCTTTTGTGATGTTCGAAAAGTTGTAGCATAAAATCATTATCTCTGTGATGAATGGAATTACAATCCGTGTGTTGACCCTAAAAGGGTATATTTGTGTTGATATTATAATCAGGTTTTATCCGATTCAAGTTCATTAGTTAACCGGTAAATGTGATAGCGGGACATTTTAGTTAGTCACTGTTCCTCTTAACTTGGTGTCACGTCTATTGAATCTATGCTAGGCCTCATAAATAGGTCTATAGATTTTCCTTGGAGAAGTGCTCTAATGACTGCTGTTCTGCGAGATTTTTCCTAATTACTTTTCTGGCAATAACACGTCGATATATTTTTCGTTGTTTAGAGTGTACCATGCTCCTCTGTACCAAGATGCAACAAACCAAGACGGGTTGATTTGTACTACTCGAGCTGGTGCATTCGTGCAGGTAACTATTGTCTCATATTTATGTTAAGGTACAATATGCTGTGTCCTGTTGTGTTGTTGCAACATAAGGAAATATGAATCCTTCTCCCTTTTCTATTCCGTTCTTTTCTACTTGGAAGTTAGTTCCTCACACTTTTCCTTCACAACAGCAGCCCTTTTAACATGTAACTTAGAGAGTTTTTTTCTTTTCTTCTTACTCTGATTGGATATGTGAGCAGCTGAATCGAAGAAGGGGGACGGACAGCTAACTGCATGCGAGGTTATACTGTTTCACTATGAAGACATGGGCATCCCTTGGGAAATTGCCAAGCTCGGAGTTCGTCAAGGAATGTGGGGAACTGTTAAAAAGATCGATCCCGGGCTACGAGCATACCAAAAAGAGAGAGCATCAAGTTCGTCGGTACCACACTGTGCCTTCATGGCTCAAATCAACACCAAAGTTAACGTAGATTACTTGAGATCTCTGGAAAACAGCTCCCACAATGGTTCCATGGAGGATCAAAGTTCAAACTCATCAGAAAAACCAGCTCGGAAGAACATTCCCAAACTGCTTGTGGTTGGTGGAGCCATTGCTCTAGCCTGCACCATTGACCGTGGACTATTAACAAAGGCAGTCATATTTGGAATTGGCAGAAGGTTCGCCAAGATTGGTAGAAGATTATGAACTGATGCTAGCTAGCAGGCTCAAGCATTTTGTCCTGATCACAATACCCCTCTATACACAACAACCTGCTTATTTGCAATAGCTTTTTGTTTATATTTTCCGTTCGTGTTTGTCCCGGATTTAAAGAGAATAGAATGTCAATACCACGTAGGTGGACGGAGAAAAGAAAAACCAACGTTATCGGGGCGTAGAAATGAAATGTCTTTAAGCAGCAACCAGAAATGTGTAGGCTCTTAATGAAGATGATAATGGCGAAATGTGGAATCAGTTGGTTGTGTTCATATGATGAGTTGAGTTGGTTTGTCAAAGTGAGTATCAGTTCTTGAATTTGTGGTACCATCAGCATGGGACTGTCAACCCCATAGCACTCCCCGCTAATCAGGGAGTGCCTTAAAAACTACTTTTTGAAGTTTTTTTTTTTTTTTCAAACAATTTTTTTAAAAATGATTTTAATTAAAATTAAATTTTTTTAAAGTAATTTGATTATTTCAAAAAGAATTTCTATTTATTACCCAATTAAAAAAAGAATAGTCTACAAAAATGGAAGATAATCCAAATTTAAACATACTTAAAAGTTGGTTTGTGAATAATTTTAAAAATGAAAATTGAATATTTGTCACTAAATTATTGAATATTATAAAACAAATGTAATTATATGCAAATATATTTTAAATATAAGTAAAAGAAAATAAGTAGCGAAAGTCAAAATTCATTAGAACTATTTACGACTTATTTAATTTAATATAAAATAAATTACTGTTCGGTAAATTTTAAATTTAAACATAGAATATTAGGTTACAATGTTCAATTAATAATCATTACATTATTGTGTTTAGGCATAATAACATAATAAAATAGAATAAATTTATTATTATTATTATTTTAGAGAATAGAGAATAAAATAGAATAAAATTCAAAATATAATATTTACTAGTTATTCTTTTCTTTCACGGAGTTGAAAAAATGAAGCATTCCGAGATCACTAAAGTTAGTCAATTTTCTTTTAATTAAAACAAGTGTGTTAGGAAACATGCGGGTCCATTGAGTTCCACTCTCGGAAAGACAAAGTTGCCCTAAAGAATCTTCTAAAATATATTTTACTCATTTCTTATCTCTTTTTTTTTTAACTGTGTGATCCTTTAATTTTATGTTTAATAAATTCTTAAAATAAAATTATAAAAATTAATAGATCTATCAAATATATATTTGAGTCCGATTCACTAATGTTTTAAAAAATATTGAAAGAATAAAAAATAAACGGAGTGTGGGGCACTCACTTCCTACCAAGAAGTGAATTTAGCCAATTCATTCTTGCCTCGCCTACGACCAAGCGCGTATGCTCGAGCCTCTGACCCTGGTTGAAGAAGAAAGTTATAGAACACGGGGCAGAGAGTTTTGAAAGCAAAATTTGAGATATTAAAATTGGTGTTTATCTAATGCAAGCAAAAAGGTAACAACTTATAGCATATAACTATCGAGCAAGGAAAAGTTGACAATGACATAGATGAATAAGATATACCAATCCAAACTAAGAATTATTTATTTATTTTTTATCCATTCGGGAAGTAAAGATTATAGCATTTGAACTAAAAGTTATAAAAAGAAAGGAAATAAAATGAATTAAATAGTCTAAGACCTTAGGGTGGGGAAAAAAATATGCATGAAAACAGTTGGAGAAGCAAATAAAATAAATGTGAGTTTCCGCGTAAGAACATGAATGAACATGAAAGAACAAATCCAGAACAAATCCAGCCATCCATCGCCACTACAAAACACCAACATAATTTTACTCCAATCCCAATCCCACTCTTTGTTCTTCCTTTCTTCTTTTCGCATCTTTCTCTTTGTTTCCACTATCATAATCCTTATCTTCTACCTCTATAAATCCATCGCCATTCATTTTCTTAACGAAAAGGGGTAGAAACAACCTTCTCCACCGACACCCATTTTCCCGATTCCCCTTCCCTCCGATTTATACCCCAAAAAAGGCCTTCAATCTCACAGAACAGAGAAGAACAGAGCAGAACAGAGTAGAACAGAGCTTCTCTGTGTTTATCGGAATGGGGAACTGCTTATTCGGCGGTGGGTCTGGTGAGATTCAGGGGAAAATCAAGGTAATCACGTCCAACGGTGGGATTATGGAGTTGGGTTCTCCGATTACCGTCGGGTGCATCGCCGACGAGTTTCCGGGATATGGAATATTCAAAAGCCACGATCTTTTTTGGAACCCATTACCGCACAACGAGGAGCTGCTTCCGGGGAAATCCTACTACTTGCTTCAGAGAAACAGGGGAAGAAACAGAGGAGAGACAGAAGAAGGGGAAATGGGAATGATAAGGGCGCGTGAGGGGCACGTGAGGTCGAATAGTGTACCGGAGGCGACGGCGGCGGCGGCGGGTATGGCGTCGTATAGAATGTCGTTTGATTATCAGGGGGTTTTGAGGAGGTCGCAGACGGAGGTTTTTTCGAGGAGCAGTGAGAAGAACGGCGGGGTTTGGAAGGTGAAATTGGTGATTAGTCCAAAGCGATTAGTGGAGATTTTGGAGGAGGAAGGTCACACTCAGGAGTTGATTGAGAGCGTAAGGACTGTGGCTAAATGTGGAAGTACCAGCACGAGCAGTAGCTTTTCGTCGTCCATGGCGTTTTCCGATCACTGGAGTTTGTCCTCCACCACCGCCAATGCTACTCCGAGCGCTTCCGCCAAAAGTGGCGGCTTGCTGGAGATCTAACAGTAAATAAGTAATTTTTCTTCTTCCCATTTGTTAATTATGCCTTTTGCATATCTTATATGTAATACAGAGTATACAAACTTTAATATATGTTTATTATCATGTTACCATGGATATGTATTAATGTTAGCTACATATTCGATAGAAACGGGTATTTAATACATGTTTGTGTTCGTTATTATTTTTGTCAGCATTGATAAGTTTGAAATTCTAAATACTAGTTTAGACATTATAAGTATGAGAGATCGAGATATGTAAAGGAGGTACGACGACCATCATAAAACCAAGAAAACAAGGGCGAACAAACCCTTTACGCAGTCGGCTTCATTCACGACATCACAATTGCAGCATCCATAAATACTATAACAAAATCTTAGTTCATTCCAGCCACTTTCTTTAAGTCTCATAGATTTAAGAAAAGTTGTAATCCAGACATTTTGAGTACAAGAGCTCGAGATATCTATGGGTACGAAGACCATCATAAAGCCTAGAAAACAAGGGCAAACGAACCCTTTACACGGTCGACCTTCATTCACGACATCAAAATTGCAACATATCTTAATGATAGGTTTGAAATCCGACACAATTATTGTATTGAACACTATTATTTTCAAGCATGTGCCTGCTGCCTCAACCATGAAAACAAGAAGAAATGAGAGTATTCAATGCTTCCATTTTTGCAAACAGCTAATCAGAGTATTCAATCCCTCAAAAAAGAAAAAAAAGTTCCAAATTAGAGAAACTTAACAAATTCAAATCATTCTTTAATCGACATCACATCATGTAACCTGTACTGATCATTCTACAAATCGACAAATACAAGTGAGAGCGACGAACTCAGACGAAAATCACAATGAATATGACTAAGGTATCTGCGGAAGAGTGCAGACATTACCTATAGGGCTGTCCAGTGGGGGGGTAACCTGATTGTGGATAGCCCGGAGCTGGATAGCCAGGAGCTGGATAGCCTTGAGGCTGAGGATAACTATAGGGCTGTCCATATGCAGGTTGTGGTGGATATCCGACCGAGGGAGGAATCGGTTGATCGATCCGAGACATCACTTGAGGAGGAGGCACTGCCATAACTTGCGGTCCGAACATGCCGTCTCTCTTATCCAGCTCAATCTTGTGTTGAGTCTGCAAACCACCACACAATTAGCTAATGATTTATCATTTAAATTTTGATACCTGAAGAATCCTTTCACTCATTACCTGCATACATGCGCAAACCCTGTTGAAAGAAGAATTATTAGTATCTTGAGCATGAAGGCAGAGAATAATAAGCAAGATTTGGAAGGGGTGAGCTTACGAGCAGTAAACCATATCAGACAAGCAAGAAAGAAGCTGAGAAGCCTCTTGAATTTCTTCACTTCCTACTATCATTGCAACGATGGAAAATATACATGCTATTTGTTGTAGACAGAACATAAAACCCTGAATAATTTGAGAATGCATAAATAGAAAGCACTGAGAATTATAGAGAGAAATTGAGAGATAGAGCTGGTAGCACATACAATAATGCAGTTGTCACATTGTGTTGTCTGTATGTTGAATTCGTCTTGCAACAAGAACCGAGTTGAAGCCACTGAATTCCCAAAGCAGAGGAAAACCTTGAAGATCGAACATATATTAATTAACTGTTGCAGTGCTGAAAGCAAGAATAAATTTGGAATGTCTAATATACGAATTGCACGTAAATATGCTATTTTCCAATCCGTGAACAGCCCAATCCCATCGTTAGTAGATATTGTCCTCCTTGGGTTTTCCCTTTCGGGATTCCCCTCAAGATTTTTAAAACGCATCTGCTAGGGAGAGGTGGTTTCCACACCCTGAATGCTTTGTTCTTCTCTCAAATCGATGTGGGACCCCCCAATCTACTCCTCTTCGAAGCTCAGCATCCTCGCTGACACTCATTCCCTTTCTCAAATCGATGTGGGAACCCCTAATCCACCCCCCTTCGGGGCCCAGCGTCCTTGCTGACACACTGCCTCATGTCCACCCCTTTTGAGCTCTGCCACCTCGTTGACACATCGCCCGGTGTTTGGCTCTAATACCATTTGTAACAGCCCAAGCCATACCGCTAGCAGATATTGTCCTCTTTAGGCTTTCCCTTTTAGGCTTTCCCTCAATGTTTTTAAAACACGTTTACTAGGGAGAGGTTTCCACACCCTAATAAAGAATGTTTATTCCCCTCTCCAACCAATATAGGAACTCACAATCATTCTGCTTCTCGTCAGAAGCAGATTTTTTTCTCTGGATGAAGTTCAATAAGAATCCATAGATACCTACCACTCTCAGGCCACACCAAGTCCAATACAAAAGGGACAATAGGTTTTGTTTTCTTCACTTCCTAAAGGTAAGCAAACATAAAAAAATTGTGGTACTACTGATTAATGCACGCATCCACTTTATTCTGGAAAATCATAAGATTTATTGATATACATACACTCCAAAGCAAGTATTAGATAAATAAAAATATTCCAAATGAAAATTTGCGTACCTCTGTGCCAAGGCAAAATTCAGGGCATTTGCTTTCTCCACACCTGCCACTACAAGGCATATAGCCTGCACAGCATACATATCTATGGAAAAAGAAAACATGAAAATCACTCAACAAAACCAAATTACATCCTAACTTTTTAGGAAGTCAATAAAATAAAATGAATTACCTTGACATGTCATTATATAGAGCTCTCTTACGAAGCATATATGATACACAAGGCCCACTACAAGAAGGAACAAACATGCAGTTACTACATGAAACCAATGCTTTGGCTTTTAAAGAAACAAATAAAAGTTCATGATTTCTCACTGATAGGGCTAAATAAAAAATTACGTTTCTGGGATGTAAAGAAAAAGAGATGTTGGCGCAATTTACTTTGCACCAAAGACGGGTGAAAACTCCACCTCTGCCAATATAAACCCACAACAATCATCTTTAACTTCGACAGTCTCTTCCTAACCATTTCATGAACACAAGCCATAAATCTGCCACAAGTAGCTAGATTTCCATTTTTCATTCCCCACTTTTATCCAAACACCACATGAGGAGATGAACATCTAATGAATAATGGCAATCCTATTTTCAAATTGAAGGTAAAATCTTTAGTAGTAACCTAATCCTTCACTACACAAAGTAATCTCGCTAGATCCTTGCCACCCCGAAGCCTCATCGAGATGAAATGTGTAGAGAGAAACAGCAAAGATGGATAATCTCCTACAGCACCATCAACACCTTAAACTAGTTGCAAAGGAAACACCGTTATATTTCCTATCAAGGGTTCATCTAATGTAAGACGATCTTTGATTAAACTCATTAAATTCAATTTGCTCAATTGACGTTGATTTGAAGGATATTGACCCTTCTAAATTGCATAACTAATGAGTCGTAGACTTTGGTTTGACAATTGAGTCTAATCGTTGTTATGCCATCGGAGTGCAGATTATGGTTAGGAGCTAGGGACGGAGACAAATCATCGGCTCTACGAAATTCCATCAGCGCACTCATAAACAGTTGAAGTTACTACTCAATTTTCAGAAACAATAAAAAATTTCACAATCACCAAGTCAACGCAAAAAGAAAACGAGTCAACGCCTCTACATTTATCTAGAAAATCAAGATCTGGAAAGAGCCAAGACAAGCCCATCAATCAGATATCAAGGAGAAAAGACAAGCCAAAACCCCTATGAAATGGAAAGCAAATAGCTCAACAAACACAGATAAACGAACTACGCGAATAAAGCAGATCCATGAGTAAATTCCAAGAAGAAGTAAAAGAAGAACACGACATCAGAAAAAAAGAAATTAAAAAACCATCACACTCACCACCACAACGCAAGGCAGCAATCTGCAATCAAAGATTAACCCTCATCAGAAAGTAAACAAAATCAGGCGAAGAACAGCACAAACATGCAAGGATAGAGAGACGGAAGAAAGCGAGAACTTACAGGGAGTGTCAGCCTGAATGGTATGCATAAGGTCAGTGTGCCAGAGATTACGATAATTCTGGCGGAGTTGCATCTTATCAAGTTGTTGCTGCTGCGCTGCCATGGCTGCACTAGCAAGATTTCCAGCAAAGGTAAAATTGCGCTTGAAAATTCTTGAAAGAATCAGAACTAAGCCTAAAACGTTGTAGAGAAGTCGGGAAAAAGAGGCTCTAGGGCAGAGGGGATTCCTGGAGGATCGAATGGAAGGGAAGACGGCCCACCACGCACCGGAAGCTTCAAATTAAAACAGCTAGATTGGTACAACTGTACAACCGGCTGAACCAAATTTTACGCTTTTTTTTTTTTTTTTTTTTTTTTTTTTTTTTTTTTTTTCAATATCGCAATGGCAAATAACAAGATGAAGCATGCAGAACGAGTCTAGACGGATTTACTCACCGAAGTTGAAAAATCTTCAATAAAATCGNTTTTTTTTTTTTTTTTTTTTTTTTTTTTTGCTTTCTGAGAAATAAAATAATAAAGTAAAACAATGCGTCGGCTTGCATAACATACATCAATTGGGCAAAAAAAAAAAAAAAAATAATAATACAAAACTAGCCAAGAAAAATAGAAACCAGAAATTCAACGACTTAAAAAATATATTTATTCTTTTTTCCACACGGTTTGGTCAACTATATGATATTTTATCCAGTTGAAATATGTTCAAATTAGTAAATTTTTGTTATAGATTTTGGTTAACTATAAGATATCTTATCCGGTTGAAATATGTTCATAAATTTTTGTTATAGATTTTGGTTAACTATAAGATATCTATCTTATCCCGTTGAAATATATTCAAAATAATAAATTTTTGTTATAGATTTTATTGTACGAGGAAAATTGCAACACCTAAATTTTTTTAAAAGCGTTTAAATCTTTTTGAACTGATTTATTGTTGGCAGACAAATAAGAGTATAATAAATTAACATGTTGTATTTATAGTACATTATATAGAAAAATTACTACACCAAATAGGTTCTATCTTTATTGTATATGAAACTACAATGTAACCCCTTAATACACTGAGTTTTGACCTACAATTCGAAGGTATGTCATATTTTCTCGACTTAGAAAATCAAAACCAGTTACAACATATTTGGAAAGTTTAATGATAAAATATAGCACAGTAATTAGTAATGACCTGATACTCCAAATAAGAAAAGAATAAAAAAATTACACAATGAATAAGTCCACGTAGTGGCACATTCCTTACAATTAAATTAATAATCGATATAGATCGAGTAACATCGAAATATCCAAGTAAGGAACAAAGAATACAACATAATCTGTACAACAATTAGCGAGCAGCTTACATTATGAAACAACCTTCATTCTTTGTCTCCAAGGTCGCTCGAGCATCGTGGCGTGGAGTGAAATTAAGACCAAACATCTCTCTGGAGGCCTGATCTGGTTCTACATAGTTAACAAGTTTTGCAACAACGGTCGCGCTCTTTGTTATGTGATCCATATCTTTTGTATCATTCCATAGAAGGTGAACCAATTGCAATCTCCTATTGTTAGAATCCAATTCAATGCCCCATTCTGTGAATAGGGCCTCTCTTTGTTTCCTTGAGAGCCTCTTCTGCATTTCTCTGCACAACATTTGCCTCTCCCGGTGAAGCGCCTTCAGACTGATCATAGATGGGATTTCATTTTACCGAACAGACCAGGTGGATTTTAGAGGAAAATATGATTGGATTTGCATTTAGCGTACCTCAATGCTGGTGTCAGTGTTTGGCCATTTTCCACGGTTTGGTTTCCTTGAGAAAATGAGTCCCTGAGGAAGGATAGTCTCCTGAACTCTACCTCCATGTAAATAGAATCAGCTGGATCGCCACCTTTAAATAGAAGGAAAAAGTAGGTTCTATGCACCAATGAGACATTACAAATATGCCACAATTCAATTATGTCCTTTTGAAGCCTTCTGAATTCCGAAGGCCATTCTGAAGGACTTATCGTGTCATTATGGATTGGATCCACGCCTACATCTTCCACGTTCTTCGTAGGTTCAAAGGGCTTTGGTTTATCCCCAAGCGCCTAGAATACGAGACAAACATGTTAAGTAAAAATCCTCCAAAAACATTCGTATAGGAAAGCATAGAAGAAAGTAAAACAACTGGAAAGCATAGAAGAAAGTAAAACAACTGATCTAGTCCTTATTTAAAGTTACTTTAACGTAGGCTTGTTTGAATTGACTTTCTAAGTGGTTAATATCACTTTTTTTCTTAACTTGAAAAGTCAACCCAAACAGCCCATAGGCTGTAGTCAATAGCTTATCTCCAATAGAATAAATATTTAGCATCCATACATTAGATTATTATAAAGGACACGTAGACCAAAGAAGTACTCACCGCTGCATCAAGAAGATGCTTTTCACTTTCAAGGTTGGATATCTGCGTTGTTATATCAAGAAGTTGATTTATTCTCTCAAGGTTGGATATCTGGTCATGTTCTAGGTCTGTAGCTGGAGTGGTCACATCACTTTTGTCGTCTTCTAAAACTTCAAGATTCTGTTCACAATGCTCGTCTATGGAAGCACTCATCTGGGAAGTTTGAGAATAAGTTACTGACGACCGCTCAGTCTCAACATCATATTTCAATGGAGCATGGAAACTCTCAGGTCTCCCTATGAAGTCTTCTCCAAACCAAATTGGTGGTGTGCTCTGGATTTCCTTGATGTTCTCTGTAGATAAGGTTCTCATAAAACTGCCATTACAACTTCTACTCCTAGTTGGATTTAGTCGTCCAGAATTACTCATATCTTTCTCTATATTCCATGGAGAAGGTTTCTCTGGTGATGGGATCACATAGAAGGGACTGAAGTTGTTAGGCTTGCTATCTTCGTCTGCAGGGTACGATTCTATTGGATTTAATCGTCCAGAATTACTCATATCTTTCTCTATATTCCATGGAGAAGGTTTCTCTGGTGATGGGATTACATAGAAGGGACTGAAGTTGTTAGGCTTGCTATCTTCTTCTGCAGGGTATGATTCTAATTTCCATTTGTTACTTTGCCCTTTATCAGCTACGTTCGAGGTTGTTGTGACAGGAGACGGAGTGGTAGAATCAACATATCTTTCTGGGCTAGAATCTGACGTGGTAGAAACTAAGTATCTATTCATACTTGATTCTTCCATCTCAATACATCGCACTTCCTTGCAGATATCCTCGGAGTTCTCACAGGGCAGTTCTTCTACCTCCTCCATATATGGTTGGGTATCATCAACCAAAGAGGGAACTATCGATGATACTTGTGGAGGGGGTTTACCTAGCAGGATGTCCTTTTTAACTTCAACAAGATGCACAAAATGATCATCAGAACCAGTGCTCTGTAAACCTGAATACTGAGATGCGTCAAAAGATCCAGAAACATCACCGAGGATTTGAGAATCTATCATTACTGTTGTCTCAGATGGGCGACTATCGAAGTCCCAGGAAGACCGCGCCCGTAATCTTGGGTACTGATCATCCAAATCTGGCTGAAGAAGATGCAAATAACTTAACATCAAATAAATAAGCTTTTTTTATCATGGCACAACAGAATGCTTTATTCAAAATGTAAAATGGCATACCGATGTCATTGAAGATTTATCCTCTTCAACCATTTTAAGGAGATCCTTAACCTGAGATTGAGCATGGTCTCGTTCCATGGTAAGCTCACTTAAGTCCTTTTTTAGCTGCATGACGAGACAAACAAGGAAGAGCAAAGGAATAACTTAGACCAAGTATCACTCTATTGTCCTCCAAGAAAGTAAATGTTAGAGAGCATTCTAATGGTAGCACAAAACATATCAATAAAATGGTGAATAAACACAAGCCTAACCATATAATTGCAGTACTTTATTATGCCTGAAAAAGTTGGACACCTCTAACCCTAAAACATAGTCATTTCTTGTTTCAATATGGTTTTGTGGAGTAATTTTTTCTTATTGTGCCAAAGCATGTCCCAGAAAAAATAGCAGCAACCTATTGACGATGAAATAACATCAGAGAGCTTTCGGACCAAGTCATTTTCTACTTATATAAGGGAGCTATATGTATGTCACTTGCACCATATAGTTGATGAAAATTGATCGCAAACTAACATGTGAATTTGAATTATCCACATCTGCTAAATTGAACAGATTATGAAGTTACAAATGATAAGTCATAAATTCAGTGTCAAAACATGCAAAAGATAAAAAAATAAAAAAAGGAAAGAAAATTACCTTTTCAATCTGGAGATCTTTTTCTCTAACTAATGCGATATCAGGTCTTTCAGAAGTTTGTCCAGAGCTTCTTAACTCCCTTTCCAATCTTGCCAATTCTCTTTGCAATTGTTTCACTAGAGCCTTATCAGACACAACTACGTTTACCTGAGCATTAGTAACAACTTCTTTAGCACAACTGGCAAAAAGGAGTGTGTTTCTTGATTGCTCAACATGGATTTGAGCAGGGCTCATGGTACAGATGATCGCAGTTCTAGCATTGCCTCCCAAGGAAGATTGCAATATACGAGTTAACTTCGAATCCCTGAAAGGAATATGTCCATTTCTTCCCTTACTGCATCCAACAAGGAGTTCGATATGTCAGCAAGTGCGAACTTACAAGAGGAACATGTAAGAAGCTAATAGAAAGACCGTGTTTAAAATACTATTTGGTTCCCCACTTACTAATTCTATTTTCTTATCTATACTTATTAAACATTCAAATTTTGGCCTTGTACTTTGAATAAAACTTAAAAAGGGGTTCCCACTGTTAGTTTGCTATTACCTCAGTTAACCTTCCTCTGATTTGGCAATAAGAATCTGTGTTCCGGGAAGAAGATATGATCTACTCTGGCAGGTTTTCACTCACACGGGCGTTAAGAAATATCTTCTATAAGGAGGAGAGTTTCCCAATCCCTCGAATAGTTAAGTTTATTACTTTCTTATCGTGGCGCATACCTTTCTCTCTATATCAGTCATCATATCCACTGGAATAAGAGCTCTCTAGTGCGCAGACCAAAGAGAGAAGACGGATAACAAAAAAGGAAACAGGAAACCGGGGAAGCTAAGTCGGAACTGGGAAAGATGTGAAAGATTTTGGCCATGGAAAAGGGTATGACCATATTGCTTAAATATATTTGCACTAGTAGCTGAAGAGATGAGAAATAACAAAGTAGACGTTATCAAAACCTAGAGGGAGTTTGAAGGAGAAAGGAAAAAAAGGCTGAACGAGGAGTCAAGCAACCAGTGAGGAGAAGACTCCAAAGTACTGGAAGATGTTGGAGTCGCTTCATTTCGATGGGAGTGGTTCCCATGGGAGAACTTCCAAGTGGAATGAATCTTCCAGGAGAATCGCATATCTAAATCGGCTAAGATGAAGGCAATTTTTGGCAAGAGAGGCCCTCGTGTGATTCCTTTCTATACCAATTTACATATCAAGAACCCTTCAAATATTTGACCAAATTGGCACCGACAATGGAAAATCAATTGTCGTTAATAAGGACAAAAGGTTCAGTTTATACTGTTTGAAAACTTAAGAAACTATGGTAAATGAGAAGTTGCTGCCTCCTTTAAAGTCAAGGGATTAAACCGTTCTAATTTCTTCACTCTAAAAAATCCGGAAACATTCGGCGGACCAATTGCAAGGACGTTAGAAACAATCCAATGATCACATGCACATCAAACCATAATGAAAAAGGGAAATTATATGCTTAACATGGAAGTAGAAAGAGAAAAATTGCATGAAGTACCTGAGCTTACGAATAACAGTCCCAAGAGTAAGCAAACTACGATTTATGTGACAACCTTCTTTCAGACGTGCACCAGCTGATAACGACTGAGATGCACGTTCACTTCCAGCCAGATCGACAAAATTCTGCATCCATGCATGATTTCATTTAGTTTATTTATTCACCGTTTAAATCAAATCCATCGCTTCTCAATTTAATAAAAACGTTGTGTTTATACCACAGTAGCTGTGAGAGAACTCGACTTGCCGTTGCCTAAGAATTCACGAGCTGAGCTCTGAATTGTCTGGAAGGCAGGCATAATCAACAGTATTACTTTAAGTAAATATAAGAATTGACAACAGAAAAGGCGACACTATCAATACCAATCTAAGAATCTGATGAGATCTGGAGCTTGCTTCATTCAAAGATGTCTCCCCTATCTGCCTTTGAGCTGCAAAAATACACCAATAACATCATATAACCAAACAAAACTTGTTCTTGCTTGTTCTTGCAAAGGCGAGAAGATTTGAAACTGCCACTACCTTCGCAAAGAGATAAAAGTTGTTTAAAATGATTCCTGTCCCTCAGAGTTTCCTCTGTGAGTTTCTCAACCGTGGTTCCCCTCTATCAAAATAACTTAAAAATCAAAGATCATCAAATGAAACGTACTCGAAGAGAAGATGAGGGAAAGATAGACTTGCTTAGTTACCTCTGAATCATCCAGGAGTCTAAGGGGAGTGTTGTCTAAACCAAGGAGGTCCCTCACAGATTCATTATATATCTCAATGGCAGAAAATTTCAAAAGAAATTCCCTCTCCGAGTGCTTGAGAAAAATAAAAGAAAACAAAATTAGACCAAAGAGAATATTATACCGAACCATTCATTATCATTACTTAATCTACCTTCTTTATGTAGTCATATATATCTGCCATAGCGTAATCCGTAATTCCACTCATGGTGTACGTTTTCCCACTGCTTGTTTGTCCATAAGCAAAAATAGTTGCTGTACGAACAAAAATACAGTGGGAAAGAAAATAAATATGGAGTTTCATGTTAAATAATCGAATGCAAATAGGAAAAAAAAGTAGTTCTTGTTCGTTCATACAGTTAAGTCCACTGACAACGGAAAGAGCAACTTCCTTGGCACCCTCCTCATAGACCTTCCGTGTTGAGCAATCGCAACCGAATACTCTGTCTATAGCCGTTCATATAAGAAAAAGGGGCAGCGAGAGCCCAAAACAACAGACAAAATTAAATATTCAGTACCGTCACTGCAGCCATAAATAGGGGAAATTCAACCACTCCCTGTCTCGGGAAATGCTCGATTTGAAAAATTAAAACCCAGAACAGAGAATTCAAGAAAAAAAATGATCAAATTTGATGTATGTTTACAAGAGGCATCGACTTACCAAATGTATACGCGGATGGATACACGGAGCGTTCAGCCAGCGAAAGCGCATTCCGGAATATAACAGTGTTGTCGTTGATGCATTCCCATTCCGAGACCTCATTCCTTGAAACCTCCTTCTCGTTCAAAGGGCGCAGACGAACTGATACCAAAATTCTCTCTTCACGTCCACTTGTCTCTTCCATTATTAGCTCTTCGCCACCACCAGCGCCCATTTCTCGCCGTCTCCTCTTGCTTCAACACCGTAAACCTTCAATAACTAAGAAATTGAGACCATTCATAAAGGGATCGATTATTTTCTGCCGATCAATGTATTACAATTTAGACACAACAACGCACCAAGTGATGTTAGGACCTTATGGAGCAGTAGGGCCGACAGAACCTCACTGCCCTGCCTCCTCAATGATCTGCACCAACAAACTAATCATGAGTCAGACATTGAGTGCAAATTCGCATACATTTTTTTTCAGCGTTTTCGTCAGAAGCATGAACCTAGATTTCTCTGTCTTTTTTACTATTAGAAAAATCGACAGAACATGTGCATACTCAGGATCTCAAACAACCAGCCATCAATTTATTCTATTATATAAACAATTTGGAGTTTTCTGATTATGGTCCATGTTAACAGACTGTCAACGACTTCGAGTCTCCCCCATTCATTTTAAATCGTTTTCCAAATCATATGATAATTGTAAACCACCTTTAATCTCAGCTTCGAATATTCTACAATCAACTTCAAGGAATGTTTGTGGCCTCCGCAAAAATCTTCACAACCACGATAATACTCGTTACGATGTGGAGGCAGAGGAAGTTCCAGCTTCGATTCCCGTAAATACGATTGGAACTTGGTTTCTCCTCTTCTAGCTGTTTCACAGGTTATCCCAAATTTATCCTAAATTTATCTCAATGTCGACGCTAATAACAAAACCACAACAGAATTCAAAAACAAAAAAGAAAAACCATAACGAATTTTCCGCGAAAACAGAAACAGCGTTACCAGAATATAGGTAAAAACAACGAAATATTCCACAAATTTCCAGCTAAACCGAATGCGGATGGCCAGAACGAAACAGAGATAAGAATCAAAGATCATGCAATGCCGCATACCTACACTAACGCAATTGAAAACAAATCGAAAACCGTGAAGTCAAACTTGACCATTTCAACGTAGACCGAAGAAACGGAGCAAATGGTTGAGTAGATAGAAACTTCCGTCCAGAAATTTACACCAAACCGATCCTCTGTTACAAATCCAAAGCAGAAACATAGAAACTAGGCTAAACAAGAACAGAAAACCGAATTCCAGCTAGAATCATGCAACAAGTAGAGAAAAATAAAAACAGAAATTGAAAAAACAGTATAAGTCGAGTGAAACTGAACTGAAAGAATGTCGAATCCAGAGAAGGAAGATCACAAGCTGTGGGGTACTGGAACTGTTACAGGCACTGAAAAAGAGGTCTGAGCGAGAATGGAAGCAGTCTCTGTCTTCCGTTTTTCTATGACCGTGTGTTCTAGATCTGGATATTACAGTGGGTCTGCGTTATGAGGTGGAGATGATAGGAAGAAAGAGACGGCGTTGGAATGGTTATGGCGTCGACTTCCGGGGTTAGGTGTTAATCTGCAACTTTCGCTCGTAAAATTATGCTTTTATTTCCCTTTCGATTTAAAACTGCCGCGCCAAAGGGTTCTTTCAGTTGCTTGCTTTTTTCTCAATTTACTATTTTACCCTTCACTACCTAATAAGCCCGTATGTACCGAGTTCCACACCCGATACTTCTCGATACTATATTAATTGTTCGAATTCACGAGAAGCACCCGGTCGTATTCTAGTAAGCCCGTAGACATCAAGTTCCACACTTGGTACTTCTCGATACTATATTTGAAGCAATTGTTCAAATTCACGAGAAGCAACCAGTAGCATTCTAATAAGTCTATAGATACCAAGTTCCACACCCAGTACGTTTCAATACTATATTTGAAACAATTGTTCGAATTCACGAGAAGCAACCGTTATCATTCTAGTAAGCTTGTAGATATCAAGTTCCACATCCGGTACTTCTTGATATCATATTTGAAGCAATTGTTTGAATTCACGAGAAGCACCCGGTTGTATTCTAATAAGCCCGTAGACATCGAGTTCCACACCTAGTACTTCTCGATACTATATATGAAGCAATTGTTCAAATTCCCGAGAAGCAACGAGTAGCATTCTAATAAGTTTGTAGATATCAAGTTCCACACCCTGTACTTTTCATACTATATTTGAAGCAATTGTTCAAATTTACGAGAAGCAACTTATATCATTTTAATAAGCTTGTAGATATTAAGTTTCACATCCACTACTTCTCGACGTCATATTTGAAGCAATTATTCGAATTCACGAGATGCACCCGATCATATTCTAATAAGCCTCTAGACATCGGGTTCCATTCTTTATACTTCTCGATACCATATTTGAAACAATTATTTGAATTTTTTATGATAGGTAAATAATAATTTGACGGTAGGACCTGTCATTTTATTCAAAAGGTTTAAATTAATTCCATACGTCCTACCTTTTATATATATATATATATATATATATATATTTATTTATTTATTTCCTCTATTTCTTTGACATTTTTATTACAACAATTAAAAAAAAAAAGGCTTAAATAGATTTTCCTCCATATTGGGAGGCAAAGAAAAAGGCAAGCAATTGTAGGGTTTGGAATGGAGAGAGTGGGCACAACTTTGACCATAAAAAGGGAAGAGAGTTGAAGCAACACAACCCACGTGCTTTCCCACAAATGCGGACTCCCAACCATCCTTTGTCCTTTTGTATTGCCTCGGGTTAGACGAGTAATGGTCGTAGGGCGACCTAACCCGATTCTTTGGCTCTCTCTCGAGTTATTGTCTACACCAGCCTGATCGTAGGGTTCAATATGCTTTCGATTAGACAAGTAATGGTCATAAAACAATCAGAGCCTTGTTTGGGCAAGCTGACCCAGTTCTTTGGCTCTCTTTCTCTCGAGTTATTTTTCACACCTGATCACACGGGTTGTCTCTCTCTTGGGCGAGCCTAACCACATGTTAGGTCTTTGGCTCTCTCTCTCTTTTGGGTGAGCCTAAACACATGTTATTGGGCAAGCAATCTCGCTTGGGTGGGCCGACCCTTATTCTTTGTGTAATAGTCTAAACCCATTCTTAACAAATATTGTCCGCTTTAACCCGTTACTTATCACTACAACCTCACGATTTTAAAACGTGTCTATTAAGGAGAGAGTTTCACACCCTTATAAAAAATGTTTAGTTCTCCTCTCAAACCGATGTGAATCTCACACTTCGATTCTAATCACGAGCTATGCTATTGAGTAGTCTATCTATTTGGGCTTTTTGAGTTTCAATGATTTTTAGATTTGACTATATGGCTACTTTTCAAGTATATATGTTTGATAAATCTCGAAAATATTTATTTTGTATTTAATAAACTATTTAACGTTAAACGTATTAAAGAACATATTAGATATTTCGAACATATATTTAATCTTTTAATTATAATATTTTAAACATTTATAATATTATAATAAATCTTTTAAAAGTTAAAATTATTTTTGAAAAAAATAATAATAAGAGACAAAATTACACATGCCACCTCATGCATGTGTCCACGCCGCTATGACCTGCACATGCCCCACCACCATCCTCCACATTTAATTTATTATTTATTTTCTCGTTATTTTTTCTGTTTTTTTTTTCAATCATTGCCGACAAAATTTGATTCTATGAAGTTGGAAATTCGATTTTTTTTTTTTTTAGGAATTTTAATTTTGTATTATCATGCATGTTTTTTTTTTTCATTTATTATTTCAACTATATTGTGCTATATTGTAATGTCCCACATTAATTGGAGACGAAAACAAAACACTTCTTATATGGGTGTGGACACTTTCCCCTAGTAGATGCATTTTAAAATTTTGAGAAGAAACCCGAAAGGGAAAGCCCAAAGAGAATGATGTCTGCTAGCGGTGGATCTGAGTCGTTACAAATGGTATCAGAGTAAGACACCGAACGATGTGCCAGTAAAGACGCTGGACCCCAATAGGAGGTAGATTTGGTAGGGGTCCCACATTGATTGGAGAAAGGAACGAGTGTCAGCGAGGACGCTGGGCCTCAAAAGGGGGTAGGTTGTGATGTTCCACATTGGTTGAGGAGAATAATAAAATAATATTTATAAAGGAACGAAACATGTATATGAAACATAGAAGATAACAAAATATTCTTATAAGGGTATGAAGAGAAGAACGAAACATTCCTTGGTGTTAAAACCTGGGACAAGTTGGTGTTCCAACGTGGACGTTGGGCTCCCAATAGTGATGAATTGTGAGATCCCATATTGGTTGGAAAAGGGAACGAAACAGGGCTCCCAATAGAGATGAATTGTGAGATACCATATTGGTTGGAAAAGGGAACGAAACAGTCTAGACGTAGAAGAGAGAAGATAACGAAACATTTCTTATAAGAGTAGGAAAAGAGAAAGAATCGAAGAGAGAAGAAGCATGTGAAAAACTTCTCTTTAACAGACGTATTTTCAAACCGAAACAATATTCACTAGCAGTGAATTTGAGCTCTTATAATATATATCTTTTAAGTTCTATCGAGCTAGTAGGGGATGACGTCAGCGAAGAGTTTGAGAAATAACAACCAAAATGAGGCTGAATGTTTTCATGTCTGGGCCCTTATACATTCTGAATTGGGCCATAAGATAATGGGCCTGTCGGCACAATGAAAATTATTCCATGGGCACTCCCTTCAGAAATTATAATTTATTATTATTATTATTTTAAGCAATTTTGTCTCAATTATATATTAGTTATTGAAATTAAAAGGTCGTTAGGGTCTCGTAACAGTGACCCCGATCTATATTTTACCGAACGATTCTTCTATCAAAAGTCACCCAAATAAACGAGAATATAATCGTTCTAGACAATTTTCTCTATTGAAAAAGTTTTGCGCTTCAACGGTCTAGAATAGTTGCAACCACCGCACTCTATCTAGAGAGGGGTCTGTTATATCATTCTCAAAGAAGCTGAAAGTTTTTTGTTCAAATGTTAAATATACAAACAACTATCACAATATTATCCATTTTTGACATGAACTTTCATGGATTTACTTCATTATCATCGAATCGGTCTCCAAAACTTCATAGATCGAGACGATTATCCAATCCAATCAAAGTAGATGAAAAGAGAAAGATTAGAGTGGGATGGGTATGAACCACAAATAAGAAAGGTTGAAGATGAATGGGGCGCCACGTGCAGAGTAGAAGATATTAGAGAGAAAAGATGAAGAATTACCAAACCCCATCTCAACCATCCATTTGTATCCAATCTTCAAACACACACCTTATTTCTGCAATATAATATACGGACAAAAATTTGGTTGGGCCCCGCGTCAGATATGTAATTGGTGGATGAGAATCATCCGAGACGCCCATTCATTTCTCCCTAACAAAAACTTGTGGCCATGGACTGAGCTCTGAGTATGGTAATTTCAAAAATAAGGGCTCCTCTTCAAAAACAGTAAATCCATACCATTTTGCCCTTTTCATTGGCTGCCATGTGCTGTTCGTCACATTTATTATTGTTTCTGGTAGCCCGATTGTCTTCTCGAATCTCCTTTTACCCCCTCAGGCCCCGCTAATCCAACCCCATTTCTTAATTTTTTCTCTCTCTTTTTCTATCTCTTCCTTGTCATTCTATTCCCCATCATCGTTTTCGTTGTCAAACGTCAAGCCCATCTGGTCTAGGAAACCTCAAGAACTTGTCGTTGTTCTTGATATTGGTTTGTGAATTTTGTGTGTTTTTGTTTGGTTTATTTGGGGGAAATTGTTTTTGGGTTTTGTTTTGTGGTGAGGAGGGGGGTTATGAAGGCGTTGTTGGTGGCGTGCGGTTGATTTTGTTGGGCGAGGAAATGAGCGTGGGGAGCTTCAATTATGAGAACACTTTGTGACGCTTGTGAAAGCGCTGCTGCTATCGTCTTCTGCGCTGCTGACGAAGCCGCGCTTTGCCGCTCTTGTGACGAGAAGGTATTCTCTTTTTCCCCTTCTTTGTCGTTCTCTTAGATTTTTGCCCATTTTGTTTCTGTGGGTTGATCTTACTTAATCTTGATTGTCATTACTTCATTTCTATTCTGTTTGGGATGATAATTGAATCGTGGATTATTGGGTCTTTGAAATCATGGGCTGTTGGATATATGCTTGCATTTGATTGTTGTAATGTTGCTGGATCTTGTTCTTGAGGTGTCTTTCAGGCCTAGCAATTCTTGCAAATTTTCATTACATTTGCTGATGGAAACCTTTGGATGAAGGCTTTTGTTGGGTGTCAATTTGGCAAGAATCATGCTCCATATCTGCATTGCATTTGATCTCTCTGAAATCCATGTTTAAAGTTGAAAATTGCTGATGTTTACTGCCTCACCAAGTGGCTTTTCTTAGCTGAAACATGATCAATACGAAGGATAATGTGAGATCCCACCTCGGTTGGAGAGGGGAATGTAACATTCCAGGGTGTGCAAATCTCTCACTAACGGATGTGTTTTAAAACCTTGAGGGGAAGCCTGGAAGGGAAAGCCCAAGGAGGACAATATCTGCAAGCGATGCGATGAGTTTGAGTTGTTACGAATGGTATCAAAGCCAGACACTAGGTGGTGTGCTAGCGAGGACGCTGTGCCCCCAAGGGGGGGTGGTTTGTGAGATCCCGCATCGGTTGGAGAGGGGAATGAAACAATCCTTATAAGGGTGTAAAAACTTCTCCCTAATGGATGCATTTTAAAATCTTGAGGGGAAGCCCGGAAGGTAATGTCCAAAGAGGACAATATTTGCTAGCGATGGCTTGGGTTGTTACAAATGGTATCAAAGCCAGACACTGGGTGGTGTGCTAGCGAGGACGTTAGGCCTCCAAGGGGGGTGGTTTGTGAGATTCCACATCGGTTGGAGAGGGGAATGAAACATTTCTTATAAGGGTGTGGAAACCTCTCCCTAACGGACGCGTTTTGAAACCTTGAGGGGAAGCCCAGAAGGGAAAGCCCAAAGAGAACAATATCTGCTAACGGTGAGCTTGAGCGGTTACAAATGGTATCAAAGCCAAATACCGAGCGGTGTGCAACGCTGGCCGGGATGGATTGTGAGATCTCACATCAGTTAGAGAGGGAAACGAAACATTCCTTATAAGGATGTGGAAACCTCCCTCTAACTGACGCGTTTTAAAACTTTGAGGGGAAGCCCGAAAGGAAAAGTTCAAAGAGGACAATATCTACTAGCAGTGGGGCTATAAAAACAAGTGCCCTCTGCAGTTCTGTTGGATTTTTAACACGAGGATTGTCAGCTTGGATGATAATTTGATTAATCTTTGACATTTCATTTGGTGTTCATACCTCTAGTCTTGTGGCTTTCGTTGAAGCATAGCTTATGCTAAATTGATTACCTTCTGATGAACAGTAGATTGATGTTTGAATGGCTGTATTATAATTCATTCCTGCTTCCTGAGACATATGGTTGGAAGAACTTACCTAATGTCCTCTAAACTTCACTGAATTTAAAGCTGAAATCTTATCAAATATGTTGCAAACTTGTATGATAGGTCCATATGTGCAATAAACTTGCAAGTCGACATGTAAGAGTTGGCCTTGCAAGTCCGAGTGACGTTCCCCGTTGTGATATATGCGAGAACGCACCTGGTAGGGAGGTCCTTCCTTTTGTTTTTGGTACTCGTTCGCTCTGTTATATATTATGTTTCGGGACGGTATGATTAACTAGAATCTATGTATTTTTCGCGTTCGAAATTGTATGTAGCTTTCTTTTACTGTGAGATAGATGGAAGTTCCCTTTGTTTGCAATGTGACATGATCGTTCACGTTGGAGGGAAACGAACACATAAGCGATACCTTTTGCTAAGGCAGAGGGTCGAGGTTGGTTGATCGATTACGATATCACCTCGTATATTTTCCACCTACATTACGATTCGAACTTTGAATTTCTTGTTCTTTTCCAGTTTCCAGGAGACAAACCTATAAATCTTGATGATCCATCTCCACATTCCAAGGTTTCCAATGATATTAGTAAAGGACATAACCTGCCACCACCACATAAAGTGACCGTGGAAGATAACCAGCAAAATCATCACCGACTATCACCTGTTCGAGTAGCTAACGACGATGGTCATGCCGAGACCGACACGAAAATGATCGATTTGAATATGAAGCCTCAAAGGGTCCATGGGCAGGCTGCTAATAATCAGGTGCAAATGCTTTCCTCATCTCTTACTCCATGACGTTGTATTCTTTTAGCACACTTAAAAAGTGATTCCAAATAGACCCGAATCCAACTGGACGATTTACGTTGATTGGAAACTTATCATGTCTGCTGCTGGTATCCATATTATATTACATTATTTCCCGGAACTCGGTTTCTTTTTCAGGATCTATGATCATGAACTATGAACCATGGCTTTCGATAACACATCGACACAATTGCATTCATCATTCTTCCCCTTGGTTCCGATACACAAAGCAGGACTTGTCACGGCTGCTCGCAGTGGAAACCTACATGTTTGGTTCGGTCGGGGGGCGTAAAGGTTCGGTGTCGAGCTTGTTTAGAATTGTAGAGAAGTGGTTGGATAGATTTGAAAGCAAGATATAAGATAAAAGCAGTGCTTTTTAGTGAAATTGCAGGTGCTGTAATATTACAACTTTAGAGACACAGACCCAGCACACAGCAGGTGTTGTTGGGAGAGCAAGTTAAGTTGGTGTAGGTAAACCCCTTCTTTTGGTTCTGGTCGGAAAAAAAATATATATATATAGTTTTATTGCTGTTCTCTTGTTCTTCATTTGCTAAGCTTTGTTCCTAACCATTTTAAAAAATAGTTTTCTGGTCTTTTTTTTTTTTTTTTGGAATACTTTATTTTAATGTCTTGAATTTTCATTTGCTTTTAGTTTGGTTGTTTTTGCATTCAAATTTTGCTTTAATATTCAAGTTTTTTCGTTTAATTTTGTGGAGATTTGGGTCGGAGATTTTTTCGTGAGGAATTCATGATAATTTACCTAATTAGCACACCACCTATTCGGGAGACGTCAAAATTGTTATATTTCCAACCGATGTGATACCTCACAATTTACTCCCTTAGGGCTAGTCACACTGCCTGATTTACTCTCTTAGGGGCTAGCGTCCTAGTTGGTACACTGTCTGATTTACTCCCTTAGGAAACAACATCCTAGTTGGCAAATTGCATGATTTACTCCTTTAGGGGGCTAGCGTCCTAGTTGACACACTGCCTGATTTACTCCCTTAGGAGCTAGTGTCTTAGTTGGCAAATTGCCGATTTACTCCCTTAGGGGCCAGCATCCTAGTTGGCACACTCTTAGGGGCCGTGTCCTAGTTGGCACTCTCTTAGGGGCCAGCGTCTTAGTTGGCACTCTCTTAGGAGCCAACGTCTTAGTTGGCACACTGCCTGTCTGATGTCAAATCTATCACTAACCGTTATTATCCGACCCAATTATTAAAAAAATCACAGTGGATGAAAAGTCCGGTCTCCATTTAACTAACTAGAACAAATGCTTGGAAGAAGTCACTTCTAAAATAATTTTAATGTGAAATTTAGTGATTTTATTTAGAAAATTAGGCACTAAAATAGAACCATAAAAATAGTTAATGGATACGGATAACGTTTCTATATTTTAAATTTAAAATAATTGATAATGGTTCCTTAGAATCATTATTTCATTAATAATATTAGAATCAAACCTAATTAGGATAAAATAAATTATTATGTGACTTTATTTATATGATTAGTTATGTGTAACCTCACCAAAGTTACATCATTGGAGTTAAATTATTCAATTAAATTAATTATTTCTCAAATGTCACTTCAAAGAATCAAAACCAAATCTCATAGGCTATATTTTAAGTTTTTATTAATAATTGATTTATTAATTTTTATTTAATTTTAATAGCCAAATGTAAGTAAATAATGGTCGACTTTGAAGCTACTCAAAATAATATTTTTTGTCTCGGGTGCTCAAAGGAATAATTAATTAATTAGGAATAATCTCATAGTTGATAAATATGATTTTTTTAATAATTAAAAAGAAAACAACCCGATAACCCAAGATGGTTCGTTCGTGAAGTCTATTATGAGTTTGCTTTCAATTTTAACTAAATTATTTTCTTTTCTTGTAATTTATATCTTTATTTTTTGTAATTTATTTATGGATATTATTATTATTGAGTTTGGGATAGAAATTTGAATTTGAATGCGATATTTTAATTAATTATAAAGGATTAGTAAACAGATTTAAAAATATTTTTTTTATTTAAATATTCCAAAAGGGAATCATGCCATTGAAAAAAATTAGTTCTTAGGGAGAAAAACAGAAGAAAAAAAAGTGTTTTTTTTTTGAAGATAAGCAACGATTTGTTTGGTGCAGTTCGGATTGGCTTCGACACCATCAAGAATGGGGAAGATCCTAACAATAGTTCGATTGTGGTTGGTGGCGACGGCGGTGGCGTTGTCCTTGTCGGCGCTCACTACCGGCCACGTAACGCCTCGCACTGTTCTTAATCGATTGTCTTCAAGCAGCTCGTTCTTGACCCGGACGGAGCATTGGTTTAACCAGACACTCGATCACTTCTCTCCTTATGTAAAAATTGCACTCTGTTAAGTCGTAATTCGATTTCAATTGGCTTGATTTTATTTACTGAGGATGCTGAATTTGTCTCGGGGGTAGTTGTTCTGTGAATTGTATCTACTTAGCTTGCCTTTCAGTTCATTTATTCGGGATTGTTTGAAGTATCTTCTGACCAATTAAGCTAGGGGAATTTAGTATTTGCTCGAGCTTGACGTAAGTGGCTTAGGCTAGTTTTGACCTATAAGGAACATACATAGCAATTTTTGTATTTCTCGGTCGGTCTGAAGAATATCTATGTTAGTTTATTAGAATGGAAATGAATTTTTGATTTGTTTCTTTCTGACCACCCCAGCATGTAATGAGCTCAATCGTATTGAGTTCACATATACTTTACGACCAAGCAATTTTTCACTAAATTCTTTTAGAATTTCTTGTGTATGTGAATGTCAATGTGATGCTCATTAGTTCAATTCAATCCAATTCTGCTCACTCTTGGGTGCTAACATATGCAGAACCATGATAAGTTTCAGCAGCGCTATTACGAGTTCCATGACTACTTTCGGATTCCAGATGGACCAATATTCTTAAAAATCTGTGGTGAAGGTCCATGCAACGGGATTAGCAATGATTATCTAGGAGTATGTTCAACAATACCTCCAATCATCTCTTAAGGGATTTGTTTTTTGTTGTATTCGAATGATAACATGAGGGTCGACCTGCGAGTGGTGTACTTTGTTTAATGTAGTACTCTAGTTTAGATTATTTGTGAATCAGGGCTGAGCTTTGTAGAATTTACTTCGCATGCTAGTGATTTTGTTCTTCATTTTGTCTTAAAATATTTAAGATACTTTTTGGTTATAGAGCCTGTTACTTTCGAGGAAAGCAAAATGCACTTTCAACCACTTCCTCAAAAGTACGAAGTTGTGAATGTTTGTAAAAATGTATGTGAGAAAGGAGGGTGTTGTTGATTTAGATTTTTGGGGTTCTTGCTTGCATGTTTGGTTCACAGTTATGACAGTGGTAAAAGGGGTTTGTGAAAATGTATTTAAGAAAGGTGGATGTTGTTCATGTATGATTTAGTAGTGCTTGTATGCAAGTTTGTTCATTATGAAGTGGTGAATGCTTGTAGAAATATATAAGAGAAAGGAGGGTGGTGTTCATCTCAATTTTAGGATTGCTTGTAGAGAGATCGATGGGTAGACAGATAGAAAAGGGAGAAATCTATAATCTTCTCAAGTTTTTTTAGTTATTCGAAGATGTAATCCCTTTTTTCATGCTTATTTATGTTATGCAGGTTTTGGCAAAGAAGTTTGGAGCAGCCATTGTTTCTCTTGAGCATCGCTACTATGGGAAGAGTTCCCCTTTCAAGTCATTGACGACAAATAACTTGAGATATCTTTCGTCCAAGCAAGCTTTGTTTGATTTGGCTGTCTTCCGCCAGTACTACCAGGTCATTATTACCCAATTTATAACTATATTATCAATTCAAATGTAAAGAAGATTGAAGTAACTCATGTGTTTGCATATGTCAAATGACTCATAATCTAAAGTAGGATTATTTTTGTTTTTGAAAACGGGAAAAAAAAAACATGATATTGGATTTTCACACTTCACTACGACTTAACTAGCCTAGCGTTTATGGTCCACGTGCATGTTCAATACATTACCATTCTGATATTAATAATAGGCTTGACTAGTTATTTCTCAAATTATATGTAAATTAATGTCCGTCTGTTGGTGATCTGCTTGCAGGATTCACTGAATCTGAAGCTGAACAAAAAGGTTGAAAACCCGTGGTTCTTTTTTGGTGTCTCATATCCTGGAGCTCTTAGTGCGTGGTTTCGACTTAAGTTCCCTCATTTAACATGCGGAAGTCTCGCAAGTTCTGCTGTTGTTCTTGCTGTCTATAACTTTACTGAATTTGACCAACAGGTGATTCAAATATGATGTCATTGGTTATATGCATTCTCCTATTTGATTCAATCACCTTCAAATTCTATACAAGAATAACATTCTAGTCTCTCAAACTTTTTTTAAATGTGCTCCTTTGGACAATATCCTGAGTTGTCTTTTTTATGCAGATTGGTGAATCTGCCGGTCCAGAGTGCAAGGCTGCTTTGCAAGAAACCAATCGACTTGTTGAACAAAGATTTGCAACAAACAAAAAAGAAGTGAAGGCATTGTTTGGTGCGGGAGAGGTTGACTTTCCACTTAATCATTTATAATAGGACACTATATTTGCTGTTCTCTTATTTGGCTGCTGATATCTAGCGTGTTTACAGCTGGAAATAGATGGAGATTTCTTTTATTTCCTGGCAGATGCCGCTGTCATCGCGGTAACTTTCAGTCTTGGATCACTTTTCTTTATGTATAATTTCTTTTACTTTCAGCATTCGTTATCTTTATTTGTTAAAATTATGCAGTTTCAATATGGAAATCCAGATACAGTGTGCTCTCCTCTTGTTCAAGCAAAGAATGCAGGAAATGACTTAGTGGTATCTTCCCAGTTCTTGCCTTTATTTGTTTATAATCTTTTTGTTTCCCAATAAAAATGAGAAATATATTACATTTTCAAGATTAGGATGTGCAGCAGGAACTGGACGAAAACTAAACTTTTTTGAGGTCATGAAGTGCACCAATTAGATGTCCAATATGTAAAAAGCCTGAAAAAGAAGCTAGGAAATGAACCTTGAGCCACTCTTAGATTTATCCTTTTACATTCCCCTCAGAAGTCATGTTATTCCTCTCCTTCATGAAGTGCAGTTAAACATCCAATCCTATGTTAATAATTGAGGAATGTAATGAACTTTTTTATAAGGTCAAGGCACAAATGGAGCTAGAAAGTGAACCTCATGCCACTCCATATAAACCTATGTTCCACTCTCTCATTTGAAAATGATATTATTTTCCTCCCCTTCCATACTCGAGCATTGGATAGCCATGACGGTGCAATCAAAATGAGTTTTGTTCCCTTCATTTCTTCTCTAACTTGCAAACTTTTCGAGTCAAAAGTTAACGATAGAGTTTCTTGGGTTTAGTCCTTGAGATACTTGTTTCTTTAACCGAACACCGATGTTAAACTCTATTCCAAGTGTAGTTGCCAAATATGGATTGTCTATATTTATTAAAAAAACTTGCTCGATCGTTTAACCAAAAACTTGAGCATCGAACAATTATCCTTCAATAAAGCACAAAATCAATCCATGCAAAACAAATGCTCCCTGACCTACTCTCTATATTGGCACTATCCTTTAAAAGGGCCCATTTTAAGCTTAACCTATGGGTTTCTTCTCTGTTCATAACATGCAATGTGCACATACATGCAGGTTATGTCATCAACTTTATTAGATATCTTACTCTTTGAATGCCATTTACTTTCTCCTGCAGGATGCCTATGCCAAATATGTTAAAGATTATTACATTGGAAGTTTTGGCACTAATGTTCAGACTTACAATCAGAAACACTTAAAAAACACCAGTCCGGGTGAAGATAGCGCTGACCGGTTGTGGTGGTTTCAAGTTTGTTCTGAAGTTGCATATTTCCAGGTTGCTCCAGCAAATGATAGCATGCGATCCTCCAAAGTTGATACAAAGTATTCTTCCAGTCTCCTCTTTGTGGATACCATGCTTTTGATCAGTGAATTTTTATCAGATTTCGATGTTTCTTTGGTTGCAATTTTTTAATAGCTCACATGATAACAGATATCATCTGGATCTCTGTAAGAACGTTTTTGGAGAGGGCGTCTATCCGGATGTAGACAGCACAAATATTTATTATGGAGGCACAAAAATTGCAGGTGCATACTGTCTTCTTTTCTGCTACCTCTACTTCACTTGGTTCTGTGCTTTTAGTTTGAGAAGTCAGTCACTTTAACCGTCATCCCTGTAATTTCTTATTTTTACCAATGCAATTCAAAGCTCTCTTTGGCCAGTTCGACATACTGTAAAAAGAATTGTAAATGTGTATACGCCGGGCCTTTCAGTCACCAAAATTGCTTGTTTAGCCATAATTAAGAGCGTTTCCAGTCTTATTTTACGTCTGATCAAAAATTGCTTTTGCAGGTTCAAAAATAGTTTTTACAAATGGTTCGCAAGATCCTTGGCGCCATGCATCCAAGCAAATTTCATCTCCAGACAGTGAGTTTTGAATTATTTTGTTGTTCTTAATATTCATTGCCCAAGCTTATGTGAAACTCCCAGCCTTGAAGTGATCTTATCCAGGTCAATTACTCTTGATTGCTTCTGGATTTCCCTGGAAGAGTTTTTGTTGCATCCAAGGATTTTATTAAATTATATCGAAAGGTTTTTACTTAAATTAGTGGCCATGGTAATTTAAAATGGTGTTGTATTGAATTTATTTAGGAGATTCATTCATAATGTTATTTACAATTCCTCTTCCTTCGGTCTTATCTTATTTTCTTTTTTCTCTGTTCAGTGCCATCATTCCTCATAACATGTCACAATTGTGGCCATGGAACTGATTTGCGAGGATGCCCTCAATCTCATCTAAATATTGAAGGTATGTATAGATCTACCTTTATATCAACCCTTTCTTCCTCATACACATTATAAAAATGATTTAGATCGAGCATATGGGAGTCGATCTCAATCTCATGTAGACCTTCAATCTTTTTTTTTTTTTTTGGGGGAGGGAGGGGGGGAAGAAGAAAAGGCCATTAGTCCAAAGCCAAACGATCCTAAATCAATCAGAAGTTTGTTTACATGAAATTTTGAGATTTGAACTTGATGGTGCAAATCTGAACCCTGTAATTCACCTTAAAAATGCATGTTCCCCCGTTTGATCAAGTTTAGCACCGATCTTCATCTTTCTGAAGTAGTCTGTCCTTTACATCCTTAAAGACTGCATTGTTTTTAAATTGTCCAACATCTGCTCTTTCAAGTAGTATTTAACCTCTCAGTTTTTCCGAGAGAGATGAATTTTATAGCTTTTTGTAATGTCTAATTGTTTGATCTCTTCTTTAGGATCACGTTAAATCACTCCTAAACTAAAGAACTCTAATGATTTAACGAACTTAATTTGTTGCTTCATTGCATTCTCTAAATCTGACCTTCCTCTCTGCCTCTGTCTCTGTCTCTCTTTAGGTGATGCTCGCAACTGTAGCTCTCCCGACGCAGTTCACAAAGTTAGGCAGCAGTTGGTAGAAAAGATGGATCTTTGGCTGTCGGAGTGTCAAGCCACCACTGGTAGGAATTATATCTGAAGCTCAACGATCAAGTCCTCCTGCTTTGAAAATGGTTTTTAAGCGAAGATTTTTAAGCACTTAAAAGTCATTTCGAACGCGCCTTAAATCATACTTTGCCTAATCGCTGTCTGTGCATATTATACTCAAAACAGATGTTTAGTTGCTCCATTGAGGACATCATATCAATCCTACTCTCCTCTCTTCTGATGCAAGCAAGGAGCACGAATTATGTGGGCATGTATTTAAATTTGCACAATAGTATAAATAATGAATAGATTTTTAGACCTTCATAAACTTGACCCTCATATTTACATCTGTCATGTATTTTATTGTTCCACTTCCGGTTATTAAAAGATTTATATTATATTATTTATTTTTTTCGAATAATTATTTTATAAATTATTATTTATATTTATAAGTTAAAACTCAATCGTTGTATGATAGATTCAACAAATATATTCTTCATTTAATTACAAATGATATGTAAAATCATAAATTGATACTTGAATTTAAATGGATCAAATTAAAAATTGATATATTTGACCTTTTGAAATCGATGAAAATAAGAGTTTAGAGTTAAAATTGATACTCCTTACAAATTTATGTTTTTTTCCTAAACTATTTCTAGTTGTATTATACTATGTTTAGAAAAATAAAATCTTACTATATTTTGATATATCCTAATCTCTTATATAAATCATTGTTAGGTATAGTATTTAAAGTAATTTATTAATTATTAAGTCAAAGTTTTGCAAGAATGAATTGTAACAATTGTAACAGTCCAAGCTCACCGCTAGCAGATTCTTTAGGCTTTTCTTTTCGAGCTTCTTCTCAAGATTTTTAAAACATGCCCATTAGAGAGGTTTCCAGACCCTATAAAGAAAGAAAAAGGTTCTCCTCCCCAACGGACGTAAGATCTCACATTCCAGCCCCCTTAGAACTCACAAAATTAAAGGGTATAAGATCAAAATATTAGAATCAAATTGCAAAAATTAAAACTATTAAAACTATGCTTTATGAACAAACTTAAAAAGCTTCATGGACTAAATTAAAATTATTTTTTATATGATATGGCGCTTCACCTCGCTTAAAGTCCACACAATGTAGTTTGTTGGTCATGTCTCAAGGCTCAATACGCTTCTCGCTTTCAGAAAAACTGCACAAGAAAGATTTTCATTGCAACAAAAGATGAAATACAGATAGTACCAAACAGCTAGCCTACAGTTTCCATCTGTAATAGTTTACATCCTTTTCAACTCTAAAACAAAGAACCCTTTCAATTTCAACATATCCTCTCCATTAATCAACCGAAGGAGCAGGGAAGCAGAACACTGTGAATCAGAACCTCATCCGCAGCAAAATTTGAATATCACAATAAAAGAAAAGCTTTGCTTTGCTACTTTAAATATGTAGATGAAACCCAGAGTAAGATATAGGTTATCAATGAAGTAGTGACTTCAAAGCCTCTCAAACCTTTTATTCCAGGAGGGATCACAGATACCATCAAAAAGGTTCCCAACAGCCATGAGAAGATAAAAGCTCCAGCCCTGTACCATTGAAAAAGAGTAACCATTAAATTCTGTTCTATATGTGGTTGCAGGAAAGAAGAGTAACCAGCCACTCAACAAAAAAAGATGATTCGCACTCGGTTAGTATTTATGTTCTATCATAAATTTCGAAAAGGAAATTAGATGAATGTTCTAGACATACCCGTAAAGGAAAGCTCGGAGTTTGCTCTTCAGTCGATCATGTATGAAATAGAAAGTAGCCACGAGTGATATAGCAACCTGAAGGGTTGGGCCTTCCTCGGTTGGAAAGAGAATGGTGAGAACTCCAAGAACTAAAAAGGCAATGGATGACTTGATTATGAACTTTGTAGATGGTGTTTGGAACCTATTCCTTATAGCCTGCACAACCCGAGACTGATTCACTTCCCTGACCTTTTTCTTGATATCAATTTTTGGGTTCTTTCTGTCATAAAATTTTTGCATAATAATTTTATCATGAGCTGATTCAATGGCATCGACACTTTCTTTGTGCCCGGCGTATCTATGAATAAGGAAGTTTCTGGCAGCTTGAATTTCATCTTCAGATGCTTCCTTACTTATGCCAAGCCGTTTGTATGGATCCCTTACATGTATTCGAGGGAATATGGCTGCATTAGCAAAAAGGGTTAAAGAAGGAAGCTCAGAGATGAGCTAAGTTAATTCTAGAAAAGTGTCCAGAAGGAAAATATCTTACGTGTCAAAATGGAGTGCGGTGCTCGGTTAATACAATTGCAGTAAATATCATCGTCATCAATATAAGAACGAATAGATTTATAAAATTTATTAGTAATTTATCATGATATCGTGTAGAAAATCATATGTTATAATCCCAGTTTTAAAATTTACTCATTTTAAGATAAAAAAATCCATGTTTCAGGTCCTAATAATCAAAGTTTTGAACCATAGAGAGAGTAGATCAATAGTTTATTAAATAAATAAATCAGCAAATTAAATTTTTGGTCATGAATTTATAACCCTTTACATCTAATTTGATCCCTAAGTTCTAAAATCTAACCATTTATCCCTTTAATGTTGTAAAGTCAGTCTAAATTGTTCCTATTGTTAATTGCCTGTTAGGTACAATAACACAGAGCTTTGTTTGACTAGGAGCTTCCTAGATGGATTAGTTTGGTGGAGATAATCGATGTCGTTAGTTGGAGTAAGAACTTTACCGGCAGACTCATTTGCAAAATCTCCTGAAGCATCAAACGCACACTTAGTAGTGTGTCGAATTTGGATTGTTTTGCCTCTAAGAGCAGGACCCGTCCAGCAACTTCTGCATTAAACAACAAGGTAAATGAACCATGAATTGGAATGACCACATCAGAACACTAACGTGTAGTAGTGAGCAGAACCTTTTGAGATATTGCAAATCAATATTTTCTCTAAAGTTCCCATTGGGAAAAGATGAAACCAGCTCACGTGGAATCCTGGAACTAGGTCTCAGAAAACAACATTTCGAGGGTTTCCCACTCAATCCCGACAAAATCATCGTATGAAATCTCTGTTCTTAGTGCCGCACAATACCACTATATGTTTATATTCTCCAAGCCACAGAATCAGCAGCTGCAATTTTGTTAAAATCACTGAATTAGATACACTTTAAATAAGATTAACAAAAGAAACCATAGCAAGTGAGCAGAATGAAATAGAAAATACCACTCTACAAGAATCCAACCATCAGCCATAAATTCTGGTTTAGCAGAGTTTAGTCACCAGTCAAATAGATGAAGAGAATTGGTATGCTGTTTAGATTATTTTCCATTACTTAGCCATGGAGAAACGAAGATATTTAAGTCTCTCTTAGAGCTTCTAGAGTGTTCTACTGTTAAATAGATGCAAAATATGTTAAACAATGAAGTTAGCCCGTGGATCGATTGTGGCTGCCTAAGTATCCTACCAATTTCAGTATGTCAAATATTATGGAGAGCAAAATCATTCCCGCATCCATTTGGTTAGTTAGAGAGATTCAATTTGGGCAACAAAACACTAAAGTTACTTTGAAAAACAATGAGAAAAAAGATCAGTCGTTTGGCTAATTGGAATTGGAAAGGGAATTAGAACAAATTCGTTTACGTTCGGAGCTCATTCTGATAAAATTTTCAACCCGAAATCAAAATTTCAAAATAAAGCATTCCAATTTCAGGGTCCAACATATGAATCAGAAAACGGAGTTAAAAACGCTTAAACCCATTCAACCAATCAAAGAGAATGCCACACTGAACATCAACTGATACTTAGAGCAGAAAAGAGCAAAATTACGCGATACCAGATGAAACAGATGTAAATTACAGTAGAACTTCTAATAATTCAGCACCCAAAATCATCATCAAACACCACAAGAAATGAAATGAAGCTCCAAATCAACCGAAAGAATCAAGAATGAAGATTAGAACAAGAACCTCATTGGTGAAAGAGAAAGTACACGGCGGTCCGATAAGCAAAATCTTCAGTAGGGTCGATCTCAAACGTCGTGCTAAAGGATAGGGAAGACGCTAACCTAGAGCTTCTGGAGAGCGCTACTGGATCAGTGAACCCTGCTTCCAGTAAAATGAGAACCCGATTTTTTTACCCTCAAGAAAATGTCTGTAACGATAATAAAATAAATTAAAAAATAAAAATAAAAATAAAATTTGCAGATGGACGTGAAATCCAAAGGCTTTAAATAACTGATTTATTTTATATGCTTTAATTATATTTTAAAATTTTGAAATGGTTCAAAAAAAAAAAAAAAAAAACAAAAACAAAAAACTTGAAGTTTTTTTTATTAAAATAAATTATAGAAAATTAAATGCAAAAACTTTATTTATCCATTAGATATTCTCTTACGAATTATTTATTTTTAAGAAATTTCTATAAATATTCATCAAAATCTATACACACAAAATGTTAATATTTTTATGAACATTGACATTTAAAACTTTAAATAGAAACATGGTTTAAATATGTAAATATACATTCTATTTTTATTATAACCATGTAGAGAATGTTTCTAAATGATATCAAGATTTGAAAATGAAATTATTAAAAAAAAAAAAAAAAAAACAAGTGGATATGGGCATGGATTGTTTAAAATTTTGAGGGACACTATCTAAGAACAACATTTTATAATAGTTATGCATCAAACATATCTGAGTTAAACTTGCTTAAATATCGTTGGACACTCCTACATTTGGTTATAAAGAAAACTCTAGGATATTCTAATACTCTAAATCTTAAGTAGTTTTTCACGATAGATTGGTGTGGTTCCTCTATGCCTAGGACACCAGAATATTGAACCATGAACGAAGAAAGGCATGAGAGAAAAGCATATCGGCCAGAGATTGTGAGGCCCCAATTCTTAACTGGGAGCACCAAAGGCCTATGCCCGGAAAGCCTTTTTTGGTTTTTTCATTGACTGAAAATACTTTTAATCCGTTCAACTGTCGCTCCTGCAAACTCGACGTGGAAGAAAAGAGGTGAGCTTTATGGGGAACAGTGAGCTCATTTGAGTTGTCTGTTCAAATCTTGAAGAACCAAGTTTGCAGCATTACGACCAGGCGCTCCCATCACACCTCCTCCAGGATGGGCACCACTTCCACACAAATACAGCCCTTTCACTGGACTTCTATAATTTGACCTGCATTGGCATTGGACAACCTCCACATTCAAATCACTCGTTTCTAAATGCACAAAAAATTAGTTCCCATTATATATCAGACTGAACGACTAACCATCCTTTAACTGGCCGCAAAAGGAAGAGCGAGTCCAACCCCATGGCGCCA